AAGCTCTAATCTAAAACTTTGCTGATATAGAAAACTCAAGTAGACTAGCTTCCTTAAAAAATTTCAGAAGCTTTGAATAAAGTCTCTTTGAAATGTAATGATTTCAAAAAATATATGCTATGTTGACGATCCATGAGAAAAAAAAGGTCTTTATTTTGAAAGTCTCATATCTCGAAAAGATTTTGTCTAAAACTTCTAAATGGTTTTCATGGAAGCTATTCTATTTGAGTTCTCGATAAGCACAAAGTTTCAGATTAAACTTCAAAAATATGAGTTTTCCAAAAATCATGAACTTTTAGAAAATAAGTATATTAGAAAGTCGATAGCTTAGTTAAATATTAATATGAATTCAAATCCTTTTAGAGTTTCTATTAGAACATTCTATAGTATCCATAGAAAAAAAATTCATTAAAATCAGAAGCGAGCAGCTGAAGAAATTCCTTCATAAGTTGTCGATAAGCCATCATAGGTAATGCAAAAAACATCAAAATATCACTATCATAATATAATTTAATGTTCTGATAGTTTCTTCATTGATAGAGAAGTACTTAGACTTTATTTTTCAAAGATTTTTTTTTTCCATTAGCATTAATAATTAAAAGAAACATAAATAGCTATATGTTATGATGAAAACATCTTGTTATTTTTCTTTGTCAATCAAAACATAAGATTGCAAATAGAACAGAATGAAGGTGAAAAATATGAATAAATATTTTCTGCATTGTATAGACTTTATTATCTTACTAAAAGTAATCATTTAAATAGATTTATCAGTTAAATAATTATTTTCATAGAAAGATGAGTATTAAATCGTTGTGTGTGTTATGTCGTTGTTTGAACATTTCTAAATTTGATAATATTTGATTAAACAATAAAAATATTTCATTGCAGAAAATTATACATAGATTTTTCTAAATATTTTCAAGTATGACTTACTTCTCTATCAAAAAAAAAATCATTAAATTTAACTAAGAAATTAATGATGATTTTAGTATCTAAAAATTATATGAAAGCTCGAAGTCTATTAATCTGACACAAATTAAAAAAAAAGAATTATTTTCAAGTTTTATGATGCATATTATACAAAAAAAAAATAGTCCATATTCCTAGCTCTATTCGATTGAGAAGACAATAAATATTTTTATTTCACATATCTTCTTGTTTATTCTTCTGTTGAATTGTATGCTCTAGTTGAAAATATGATTAAAAGTACATAATTATTTTTTTTTTAAGTTCAATTCACAAGTTTTACTAATTCATATTAGCTATTATTTATTCGAAAAGTTTGATTTTATTTTAGTATTTTTTATTATAATAATTATCGATGAATCAATAATTTTATTTTTATTAAAAAAAAATATCTTTGATAAACAAAAAAGTACATATATGATTGCCGTCATTATTTTATTTACAAAAGAACTCTTATATAATCAATGAAAAAAAAAAACATACGTAAAAATGAAAAAATCGGCACGCACTTTTTTCTTTACTTAAACAACTACTCGATTATTCGAGAAAAAAATAATAAATCAATGTTCTTTTTAACATATTCAAACATCCAATAATGAAAATCAAACAACAGAACAAAGAATTGTAGTAAGTGGTGGATGCTTCTGAATAGAACTAGAAAAATAATTCAATATGAAAATATGAAATTTGTTTAATATAATTAAATATATGTATATGTGAAAAATTTATGACATGAAAAAGGACATCATCTTTTAAAATAATGCAATTTAATGAAGAATTTCATTTCGAGAGAAAATATCTTATGATATATGTCAAATGTAATTATCTACAAAAAACAAATAATTACGATCAAGTGTACACATATGCAGTAACGAAAAAAAATGATAAAACTAACTTTTAAATTATACAATCAATGCAATAGATAAGCATGACAAAAATAAAAGACAAAATTTATTATATGTCTTCTAGCATATTTGTTTTTGCTTCAATTTAACAAAGGTTTATCAACGAATGATCGAAACTTAATTAGACAAAATATTCATACATTTCTCAGGCTTTTAAGAAGTCTGTAGAAATTTAAAAACATTGAATTAGAATCAGAATTTTGTTTTGTTTCTGAATATGGTTTCAAAATTTTCTTAGGTCTTCTCGTTTAGAAATTTTTGAGTTGATCTGTTACAGATTCGTAAATTAAATGTTCAACAGAGAAAATTGATGTTCTCTACAAAATGATATAAGAATCAAGAGTTTCAGTAATGACCGAACTCATTATGCAAGTCTATTTTCCATAGAACCCGAGAAATTGCCTTCATTGTGATAGTGTTCTCTACTAAAACATTTGTTGTTAACAAATGACTTAGAAATAACTAATCATTAATATATCATTTCATTAAGAAATGTTTGCTCTTTCATTCACTGTATTTGAAATGATTTTCGTTTCTATTTTGGATAATTTTTGGTATGTTAAAGTTCATCCAAATTTATTTTATTCAGCTTTAAAAGATTAGTTCATAACTTCTAAACTAGAAGTTTTACAAAAATTTTTTGGATCCATATTCCTAAACAAAACAAAATTCTAATTCTAACTCAATATTTTGAAATTTCTACAGACTTACTATTACGTTTCAATTACCCATTAATATTATTAGATTTTCTTCAAACATGATGATATTAATAAACTCATCCAAAATTTAAAAACATCAACAATGAAAATCATATTTTGTTTTGATATAAAAAATAAATCATATTCTTATTATTAACATATTTTTATTTAAAAAAACAATATTGATGATTATTATTCATTTAAAAACAACAAAACGAGTTCTAATAATGTACGAAATTGTATTCAATCATGAAATGCAGTATAATATGAGAGATCGGCAATTATCGAACATAATTTGTAAAATAAGACAGCGGCTGGAGAAAAAAAAAGCAATGATTATTTCTCAATATCTATGATAATATAAGCCATCATTTCTATATTACAAATTCATTGACATTAGATATCAAAGATAATATAAAAACTCATACTTAGGTTATTGATTAAATAGACTCATTCTGTTAATATAGTCATTTTCATGTACAACTTTAAGCCACATTCAATTGAGTATTTATTCGAAGTTTTTAGAAAATTGACACTGCAAAGTATTTTGATATTGATAGATTATTAAGAGACATTGTAACAATGATTATGATGCTCATGTTAGAACATGACTATGTATGAAGAAAGATTTTCTCTTCACAAGATTAATGTGAAATCCAAATGTGTTTAGCTTATTTTGATTTGAAAAACTAAACTAATCAATATCTATTGAAGACTTCACATTTATTCTATGACTGAAACAAAATATTATTTAAAAGAATGTTTGCCTGTTTGTTTTATTGCACAAAGCTTTAACAAGCATATGTTATATTAAAATTGTTTTCAGTCTACTGATCAAATAGAATCTTTTAACACTTAAAATAAAAAATGTAAATCATCGTATTACATATAATAAAACCTGACAAGTGTAAACTATCAAGTGCCAACATACTCAGATTATACCGGTGGCGGCGCGAAGAGGTCAGAGCAGAGGGGAGGTACTCTCAGAATGAGAAAAAGGTGAAAAAAATTTTTTCATCGCGAGTGTCCATGAGTTTTTCAAAAAAATTTTCTGCTTCGGTTACCAACGAAATCAAAACTGAAGAGCAAAAAAAGAAACGTCTTCAGGAGGATTTCGTACGTCATCAGCTAGTTTTTGAGCCGGAAGTTGGAGAAACTATAGGCGAAAATGGAAGAAAGTGAGGTCCAAAACGGGAGAAGGCGGAGTCCAAAATGGAAGAAAGCGAGGCCCGAAATGGGAGAAAATACCACTTATATTTTCCAAAAGCAGGGGGTAGGTACCCTCCCCCAACCCCCCCGGTCGCGCCGCCCCTGGATTATACTCTGAAACTGTTCACAGATTTTTCTTTTTTGTATTCACATTGAAGACATACACAAAAATTTCAATATGCTGTTATCGAATTTGTTCACATTTCTATGTTGGTCTTCTTATCTTAAAAAGACACGAAACTCTAATGTTTCGAATTGATATACTTTTTAAATACACATTATTTTATATTGCATTTATCAACCTGCATGCTATGCACAAAAGATAAAAACTTTGTTTTCCAAATTTTAGATTAAGAAAAAAAAATCAATCAAAACTTCATTGTCATTCAGAAAAGTATTTTATATTTGAATAATCTATCTATAGGAGGACATGTCAATGTTTGGAAAATTTGAATAATAAAATACGTAGTAGTCCATTCAACAATATCATTTTTCCTTGAATGATACAATGACATATCTTTTCTCTATGTAAATATTAAAATTATGAATACAGACTATCGTTTCATTCAAATTTTAATTGTATTTGAAATATTTCAATCATTTCTTGTTTAATATTAAAATGAAAGTTCCTTTTTCCAGTGGCGGATCTAGCCGTTTGGCGCTTTCGGTGATTCAAGTTTCAAAGCGATTACGTCACGTAAAACTTACTACGTAATTTAACCTTTCCCTAACCAACATAGAAGCATCACAAAGATAATTCCATTCGCGCGGACCTACACTTCTTACTGCTTCAAAAAAAGTGGCTCCCCTCACTCTGGCAAAATCCTAGATCCGCCACTGCTTTTTTCTGCAGTAAAGCATCTGCATCTTTCTGTATATTTTTGATGTCACCAAATATCAATGACGATGAGTGACATCTTCAGAAACCATAGTTACTACGATACACATCGTTTTTTTTTTGTTTTATAAAATCATTTCAATATTTTTGTCTAAATCTTATTTAGAAAATGAATAAATTCATAGTTTTAGATTAAAATTTATTTTTAACTTCGTAATTTCTATTAGTAACAGTAAATGATATGGTAGAAATGTCAAAGTAAATCAATAGTTTCTACCATCTAAGTTGTTTTTTACTTTATTAATAAAGAAAAAGAAAATATTTTTCTTTTCTTTTCTTTTCTTTTCTTTTTCATTTTTATTCAATCACTTCAAATAAGATATGAAAAAACGCGGTGGAAAAAAGACAAAACCTGTAAGTAACATACTCTTCAAAAACTTTAATATTAAATAATTTTACCTTGATATTTTATTTAGCAATTATACAGTCATATTGCTTCAGCAATCATACCATCAGCAAGTATTGTTGCTGTACCATCAGCTGCATCTTATTTTCCACGACAAAAAATTCATGCTAATGAAGAATGGGGTCCATTAGCATCAACACTTCTTCGTGCATCATCTACCAGTCAATTACTTATTCCAACTACAACTTTATTAACTACACAACAAGATGATAATTATATACGTTCAATACAAAGAACAATTCGAGGACGAATGGATACAACTACAGATGAAGAAGAAAGGTATTTGTATTATTTATATTATATGAATTATTTTAATTTTCTTTAATAGTGATGATGAAAGTGAAAAAGAACAAAAACCTGGTACAGCAGCACTTGTGAAGAGTGTATGCAAGCATATATTTTAAATATTTTATATTTAAATTCTTTTTTTTTTGTTTTCGTTTCTAGACTACACCTCGACCAGCTTCATTATATGATGCTGAAAAACGATTATTGGGTCATGCTGTTGATGATCAAGGTAATTTTTTTTTTCTACAGAAATTGATAAATCTATTGTTTTGTTTTTTTTCTTATTTAATTTATTATAAATCAATAGAATCAATATCAACAATAAATGATACTGGTGTTAGTTCAACATCTCATTTAGATGCTAAACAAGCACTTACAGCTGAATTATCACGATCAGCAGATGTATGTACAATATTAAACTAAATTCAAAAAAAAACAACTAATTAAATTTATGTACAATAGGAAAAAATTGGAAAACATTCATCAGTTCCAATGGCACGTCGACAAAATCCTCCACTAGTTCTCAATCCTGTTCAAAGTCAATCAGATCCAACATTAGCAAGAACTGATATTGGTGTTGAAGTATGTTTATTTTCTTGAAAAAGAGATATCAAACTTTTTTAAATACATATTCTATATATATATATGTATTAAAGGGTATTGGTGGTGAATTAAAATCAGGAGCAACAACAGGACGTTCATCTCTTAATGATACAACAACTATACCAGCTAGTGCTCGATCTGTATCATTTAAAGAACCAGTTATTGATAAAAAATATCATTCATCATCATTAAAATCTCAACAAACAACACATCATCTTAATGATAATTTAAATTCAGAATTAAAAGAAATCAGTATTTATCTAGTTTTATTTTTTGTTAATTTTAAATAAAAATTATTTATTTAAATAAATAGTTTTACCACCATCCGAAGAATATCAACAAAATTTGAATGATCTTGAACAACGTAATGAATTATTAAATAATGAAGTTCAACAACTTCGATTAAATAATCGAGTAAATAGATTAATTGATTTTTATTTATTTTCTTGAATAGATTAATAATAATAGAATAAATATAGAATCTTCAAAAACAATATGAAGAATTACTTGATCGTTTACAAACATCACAAAAACTTTCACAACAAGAATTAAGTGATTTATTAAAACAAATTGGACGTGGTAAATTTATTTCAATTTATTAATTTTGTATAATTTATTTATTTTTCGTTAGATCAAATAAACGATTTCGAAAATTTAACTAAAACATTACAAAATCGTTGTGATCAATTACAAAATGAATTGATTACTATGAGAGATCGATATGCACAAAGTTTGTTATTAATAAATCAAATTATAATAAAATAACGTTTTGTTTGTTTGTTTGTTTGTTTTTCAAGGTCAAATTCAATCTAATGTACAAGAATTGAAAAAAGAAAATCATTTTCTTAAAGATTATATTCATCGTTTAAATGCTGCTTCAAGTGAATATCAAACAATGCACCCACCAAAAACATTAAAAAAAGAAATGAATGTATGCAATTATATATATACATATATATTGTTTACTGTTATGATTAGATAGTAAACAAAACTAAGAAAGTTCTAATTCAAAATAGATATTTAAATTTAATCTTATGAAAATGAATAGGAATTGTTATGATTGAAAATTTTATCTACGAGAAAAAATTTATTGCCTTGTTAGTTCATGAAGATACTTTATTACAAAATAAACAAATAAACATAGTATTAGCCGAAGTTAACAATCTGAATGCATATTCGAAATAACTAAGTTTTATCGCAAAAACTAAAAATTCTGTACAAACAAGATGTGTATAAGAGAAATAATCGTACTTGACCTCATATAGTTTGAGGCAAAATAGAAAAAGACTGATCACCGCTTCCTATTAGATTGTTTATACGTAAGAAGCATCAGTCGAGAATCAACATAGAATTCCTTACAGTTCGTTTCGAGTGTTTCATTCAATTCAATAATCAAATTTTTCTAAATTTAATTTTACAAATGAATGATCAGATCATTATGTATCCTTGAGTTTGATTTTTTTTATTATTTCAAATTTAACGAAATAAGTTACGAGCGAATTCAAACTTAGAAAACTTTATCGAGTAGAGCTTGTCAAGTAATAGTTCATGTCGAATCTGAATCTCGAATAAACTCAATTGATTTCGTTATAATATTTAGTATAACAAAGAAAAGTTTTGTTCTGTGTTAGTTTCTTAAATAAAATGAATAGTATTGAAAAAATAAAAGAAATAAACCTACATTCAATTTTTTATGTGTATCGAATATTGTCGTACACTTCTGCCGGGCACATTTCATCATTTACATAATACAATACTCGTGATGCTGTGGTTGTCATGACTAAGTGATAACGTTGTGTTTGATACAAGGTACTGTGTTCAAACCTCGGCATTATGAATCATAAGATGACCCTGGACATGTCACTAATGGCTGTTTATCTCGTATCACCTATCCGATATCATGCTGACTACGTTGTGACATACAACTACTCTCGTAGTTAGTTAATGTGTTCAAACAATTGAACGCAAGAACTCTGCATTAGGTTGGCTTTCTATCCAGAGCAACAGCAAATATTAGTTGTATCGAAAATATTCGACTAATGAATTTGACACTAAGTCGTACCTTATTCCGGAAGGTAACCAAAAGACAGGATTATTCTTATTGTTCGTACTTGATAGTCATATTTTTTATTTTTCTCATAATCCATCAAATTCAATACTTTTCTTTTTCGAAAATCAAATATTTTTAATGCATTAATTTTTCCTTTATGTTATTGTCACATAAATTTCACTATTATAAAATGTTCTCATTTATTTATTTATATAATAATAGAAAGATCAACGTAAAATGCAAGGTTTACCAATGAAAGGTCCATCACCAATTTGGCTAGTATGATTATATTTTATATTATATCTCTTTCTTTTTTTTTATTTTTGTAGCTTAACCAAAAATTTCTTGCACCATTATTTGTTTGTTATGATGAAAAATTATATGAAAACAAAGAATTTATTAAAAAACTTCAAGTAAAAATTCTAATTTAAATATTCTAAACAAACAAACAAAAGAAATATATCTTTATTCTTATTCTAGACGCAACTTAATGAATTACATGATCAAGTTAAATTAATAACTGATGAAAATATTTTATTACATGAACGACTTGCTCGATCAACAATATCGGGAAAGGATGATACACATCTATCTGATATGTAAATAAAAATATTTCTTAAATAAAATTTTTCAAATATTCTATTTTAATTTTCTAGTGAACATATCAAACGACAAGCATATCTTGTTTTAGAAGAAAATAAAATTCTTCAAGAACAACTTAATTTACAAACAAATCGATTAACTGATGTACAAAAAGTACAAATTCAAGAAGGTAACAAAAAAAAATTTTTTGTATAATAATTATTAAACAAAAAAAAAATGAATTTTCATTTAATTTTAGTATCAAATTTAACTCGACGTTTATTAATTGCTGAAAGTGAAAAAACTGAAAGTGATCGTATACTTGAAACAATACGAATAAGAAATGAAGATTTAAAAAGAAAATATGATCAATTAATGATGGATAGTAATCATCGTATACATATTCAAGAACATGTTTATGAAATAAGTGAAATGAAACGATTAACAGGTTATATTCTATTTTTTCTTTGTTTTTTATCTTATTTCTTTGAAATTTTGACTTTTAATAGATGAATTAAGTGAAAAACATGCTCATGAAATGCAATTACTTCTTCGTCGAGTACAGGTACTAAGCATGAGATAAAACTTGAAACTCATTTTTTGTATAATTGTCTTCAATTGAGAAAAAAAAACACACAGTAAAACATGCTCTTTAACATGATTACAAATAAATCTCTTTAATTCATTTCGTAAGAAGGTGTATTAGTTAAGAAATTTTTATCATATTTGAAAGTACATTATTTATTCATATTTTAATCATTATAAATGAAATAGTGAACTAAACGAAGCTATTATTCTATGTTTTTGTAAATTCGATTTTTTTTTCTTGCGAATACCTGATACTCTTCATATACATGAACAAGTGAAAGATGAAAAAAAAAGTTTTATTTCGTGCTATTCATTACTTCATCTATCAATACTTAATGCATTAAAAGTGTTCACTTAGTTTAAAAGAGCATTATATTAACAAAAAAGAACATTGAACAGTTAATTAATAAACAAACTTCATCAAAACTAACAGTAATAGTAAACTCTTCAACTGTATGGAATAGTTTTAGTTGTATCAATAAAACATCCTAGGTGAACGACAAATAATCAATTTATATTTCGAAATCATTGTCGAATAGTTTTGTAAGAAATCGAATATCTAATACGCTTACTAGATATAACTCTTTTCATGCCTGAATACTGTTGTTGAAAGAGAAAAATCCTATGTAGATTATAGAGATTTACAAGGTCAGATGATTTCAACTTCGGTACTTCAACTGAGAAAACATTTTTAAGCCTTATTCTACTTTGGAAGGTCGGCTATAGTAACCTTTTTTACATCTCTAGTGGATAATAAACGTTTCAGTTGAAAACATAATTTTTTTTTTGTACTTGAACTCTATTTTAAATGTATTGATTTTTTGACTACTGTCATAAGCAGTTTTCTTCTTTGTCTAGTACATCTTTATTTGATTTTTTTCGTTACTCTTTTTTTTTAATATTCAATTTATTTTCTATCGCTATATTTCATGGTATAAAAGATAAGAATTAATTATATTACGTTAACATATTAGATATCTAATTCATTATAAAATAATTTCAAAGTGATTTCGAAATAGAAATTGATTGTTTAAATTAGTATTTTAGTTTGAATGATTATATTATTAAAAATCAATTTCTTTTCTAAATATAACTCATTTTTAAACTAAGCATTTTTTTCTAATTAAACTCGCAGGATTAATTTATAGTTATTTTAAAGAGCATGTTGTACTGTACTTGTTTTCTCTATTTTAAAAACCATTTCTATATAAGAAAAAAAAATTTCATAGATGAAATAAATCAGAAATTGTAATCGATTCATTATTAATTAAAATATTTAAAATAATATTATAATTTCTATAAATAGGATGCTGAATCATCAAAAAAAATTTCACAATTAAAATTAACTGAAAATCGAAGTGAAATTGAACGTTTAAAAGGTGAAATAAAAGCAATGAAAAAAACAAATAAAAAATATCTATTACGTGTACAAACACATGAAAAAAAAGTTGAATTACAACAAATTAAAGAACAACGAATAACAACAATGTTTGAAAAAATTAATGAAGAATTAGAACAAATAAAATTAGAACGAGATACTTATTTAGCATTGGTATTTAAATAAGAAAATTCTTTTGTTTTTATTTATTATTATTATTTATTAAGGCTAAAACAAAAGAAGAAGAAATGAATAAAACACAAGTTCGATTAACTCAAGATGCTGATAAATTAATACAACTTGAAGAACGTCTTGAAAATTATAAAACTAAAAATAAAGAACGTGTTAATGAAACACAAGAACAGTAAGACAATAGATACATATATTAAGATATATTACATATATATATTTTTTTTTTATTCTTGTATTTTATTTTTAAATAGAATGAAACAACAATATGATAATTTAAAATTACGTTGTCTAGAACATGAACAACGTATTCAACAACTTATGACATTGTTAAATGAAAAACAAGTACTTATTGATGATCTTAATGCTGAAAAACGGTAAGATTTAAAAAAATAAAATATGAATTTATCAACAACTAATTAAATTATATTTATGATTGCCATAGGAATCTTGAAGTTGATCTTGAAACTATTTGGCAATCAACTAATGCGGACAGTATGCGTTTACGTGAACAGTTACTTGATATGCGTGTAGTGAGTTAGTTTTATATATTCATCTAATTGTTCTGTGATATTATGACCTTATTAATGGGTGATTATAGTGATTTACGTATTTCTAAATGTATTTCGATAGTTGTGATGTATTTGATTTTATTTTTTATTTCCATGGGGTATAACAAAAAAGAAACATATATATATCTATATATGTGCATGTCTGTCTATTTTTATTTCCTTGCTTTATAAATTTTTATTTTAAAAACAAGAATACTCTCATTTGTGTTTCTTTTTGTTTTTTTTTTTTCCATAAAAGATTTTTAAAAAGAAAGAAAGATAAATAAATACATCTTGTCTCTTGTTAATTCAAGTTGAGTGCTTAAAATTCGGCATCTTCTTTATTTTTGTTTATATACCATGTATACTAAGACAATCATAAAATGGTGATAATTTGCCAAGGCGTGCTTGATATTTCAAATACCATAATGGTTTATTGGCACATGGATCTTCTTTTTTATAACTTTTTTGTGAGTACAAATAATTTTTGACAGGATTATCATTTCCACTGCTGCTATGATCATTTCTTGAATCCCACATGTCATAATAACGTTTGTGTATACGGCTAACGACTGCCAATGAATGATGAACCGTAACTATTACATAAATATGACAAATAAATCAAGAAAAAACACAAGTAATTGAAAAGAAAGCTCAAGCAATAATGATAAACAAATGTCGATTTTACTAAGCTAGATAATAAAGATATAATTACATTAGAAAACTTACCGATGACAAGTAAAGAGATGAGTAATACGGTTAACATGGACTTCATGTCTGTTATAAAGAAACACAAATATTAAGATGAAGTAAATATTCTATTTGCAAATCTACAATAATTAATATAAATCGGAAAAAAAGAGAAGATTTATATAGATACTAAATAAATATACATTTTGCAAATTTCTCGTTTTTTTTTTTCATATTCAAGAAACCATCATCAATCTATTGACATGGTCGTTTATGACATGAAAAATAATTCGTGATTAGATCGATTAGCATACAGTTTTCACTAACTTACTTATATGTTCAACGTAATCATAGTATTAATAAAACATTCTCATTACTTTCAATGCTTTCATATTGCATTGTCCTATAATACTGTTGGCATCTAATTCAAAAACATTTTCTTTTATTTAGATGTTTTTTTCTCATTCTCTCTTGGTTTCTCTCTCTATTTCCATAGTCCTATATTCTTTAATTTTTTATTACTACACGCATTAGTTATTTTGTTAGAATTTTTAATCCTATTTGATTCTCATTTCTTGTTTGTCGTTTTTTTTTCTCTTTGTCTCTCATCAAGATTGGAAACCAAGTTGAATGCTGTTGTCTCATTTTCTTTTCCTATATTCTTTTATCCTTTGGGCTCTCATTTTTTATGTCTGAACATCATAAGCAAAAACAATAGATCTTTTCATGTCGTTACGTACATAAAGGAGTGACAAGTCTTTGAATGCGTAGACAAAGAAAAGATCAGAGAAACCGACCATCCCATAATTTCTTTTTTTTCCTCTTATTTGAACAGGACAGGTTCAACACATATTCTATTAATGTTCCAATATTAAAGAAAAAAAGAACAAATATGTTTCTGCATACTTGTCTATTTATTCGTAAATAGTCTAGTTAGTATTCGTTGACAAATGAAAAGAAGAAAGCAGACAGCAGAATGAAATTTATTGTAACACAAAAAAGAGTTGGTTCATTTATTATTATCAGATCGACTTTTTCTTTTGAACCGACAACCAGTGATAGGCATCATCATTTTTCTTCGAGCAAAAAATAAAAAAATCGTTTCAGTCTATATTGTCGTCATCTAGAGTGTTCATGTATGTAATTAAATGAATTTCTTTACGATAATCGAGCATAGCAAAGACGAAAGGTCGTCGCATCGGCTAGGACTAATTATATTCGAATGCGGAAGAATGTGCACTTGCAAAACATACTTGAAAAGATTCTGAATAGATAAAAAAAAATAAAGGAAAAGAAAGCATGCTAGTATAGAAAATCTTCAAAGATGATAAATGTTGAATTAGTGAGGATATTTGAAGTGCGTGATTATTTGTTCATGAAATATTTTATTGATTATTTTTTGTTAACATCTGTCAGATAGAGTTCATCGCGTGATATTTTATCTTTATATGAAGTTAATAATAGATTGAAAAAAATTTAATTTAGTCTAATTTATATATTATCTCAACTATAAACAGATGTCTAGTTCAATCTATTATGCATAGACATAAAATTATTTTTCTATAATAATGAATAAATATGTAATTTTTATCTACCCGTCTATAAAATACCTGAATTCTATCAGTTTCATTCGGATGTTGTCTGAGTATAACGATTCAATTTGTATTGCTTCAATTTAGATTACATTGAAGAACAAGAGTGTATACAATCAATGTAAACAGATTTTGCAATCTCATTGTCTAACAAGAACAGCAACAAGACATATCTTTAAAGTATTTGTGTTCGTCGAATCCTAGATGAGCGTAACAGAGTCAAATTTATTTTCGGGATAAAGTCTATTCTTGATTATTTTCTTCCTTTTTTAAATAACCTTAGCATTCTCAATTTATTAGCTATAATTCTGCTAACTAGTTTGTCATTCATACTTGATTTGATTGATTTAGCCTCGAGCAATTCCTGATCAAATAATCTTGATTGGAAGAATAAACATCATTAAACTAATTCTTCTTCTTTTTCTTGCCAATATTTTCAAAAACAAAAGTATTTTTCTTATCGTCATTATAAGAAAAATCAATATTGTTGAGCCCGAGAAAATTTTTGAACTTCAATTGACATTAATGATGAAGAATAAATAAATATAATCGAATTGTATTTTAAGTGGAATGATTAATGAACAAGTATAGTAAAAAAAACAAAATATAAAAAAATTATTGAAAAGAAACGATGATAAAATCGAATATAAAAAATGTCCTTTGAGAATACGATAAACATTTATCTTGATTGAACGATAAAAAAGCAATAATAACAAAGATTAAAAAGTATAAACTTCCTTTATATACTATAATATTTCTTGATAAGAATAATGTTCCTATGAAATATGTATTGATAAGAAATTCATCGGAAGATTGTTTTTTTTTTCTTAAGTTTTTTTAAATCGAACATTGAAATTTATTATCATATTCAAATAATTTTTGTTAATTTGGAAATCTCTCTATATATCATATTATATTTTATTGAATGTTGACTAACAATAGTTTATGCACTCATTGATCTATAACAAGATTCGACTGAATTTTTTCGTTTGGAGAAGATATCGAGTCTAATATAATTAATTATATTAACATATATTATGGCGTAATTGATAAAATTCGAAAAGAAATAATTCCACAATTGATCATTCACGCTTAAATTATAAGAGAATATTCAGAAAACAAAATAAAAGAAACATTCTTCAAGCAGATATTTTATCAGAATTTCTAAAGCAATCATATGAAGTGTATTAATGAATATTTCATAGTATTCTCTAGAGTAGTTATGGAAAAGACGATGATATGCATTTGAATTGCTTAGTAATTTTTGATATGTAATTAGGTTATGAATAAAAAAACCATACAAACTTCTGTTAAAAAATATACGAAATAAGAATAATTTATAAACAAATTACAAATGAAAAAAACAAACTGATAGATATTCAAAATTCTTTGAAACTTAAATATAACAGTATTTGATTAAATTCTTTTGTAATTACTTGTATAGAAAACTTTATTTGAGAAGAGAGTCTTTATTTATATTTTTATTTGTTCAATTTCTATATTAATTTCATTACATATTGAGAACAATTGATCATTCTATTTTGTTTTTATCAAATACAAATATTCTAACAAAATTTATATTAGTATTAAAAAGCAAAAAGATTTTATTTTTATTATATCAAGTTTTTTTTTTGTTTCATTGATATCAATTTTGTATAGATTTGAATTGCTTGCATGATTGTCATTGTAGTGACAGGTGATAATTGATTATTATAATGTTGAATGAACTATTCATTGAAATAGTTCATCAAGAATGACCTTCTTTTTTTCAAAGGTCTTGATAATTCAAATGACAAAAAAGATCTTTTCTCTTGTTGTCGTCTTTTTTTTTCCATATACTATTTACATAGAAATATGTATTATCAATATAATTATATATATAATGAAATCAACTATTGCGATTTAATAATACATAAGTTGATGACGTCAAATTGCGTGTATCAATTTTATGCTTTTTTTCTATGATCAAAAATTGATAATTTTTATTCATTCTTATAATAGACAGTAGTGGGTGTTAATTATTATGTATTCTAATAAAAAAAGCGACATATTCTCTTGTATCTTAATTTTTTTTTTGAAGTTATTAATATTCACGTATTGGTTTATGCTATTGTCTATTCATTGAATGTTTCAATTAGATTTTTCAATCGTTCATTCATGAAAAACAAAATAAAACAAAAGATTTTTCTTTCATGCTAAAAACTTTCATCTTGAAGCTTTTAAACCTCGTATTTTTTTTTCTAATGGTAGTATGAGTAAATTTGATTTCATTATTACTTTATTGGCAAGATTATATACTTGACTGATTATTATTGATAATAGAATAGAAAGCAAAAATGACTATAGGTACAAAGTTCTCAGATAAGACAAAGTTTTTCATTTATCCAAATATTAAAAGATGTATGAATATTACATACAATAATATCTTATTAAATAATGATATTATGAATTATCAAACTTAGAATTAATATAAGTTTGTTTTGTTTTTTTTTCAAGCGAATTGATATTTATCAATTTGTTAGTAAGATGTTATGTTTGAGAAATTTCATAATATGCTTTTATATGATACACGTAGGTTTTATCCTCTAAGGTCCCATATTGCAGATTTGTTTGCATTGTCATCGGCATAGTAGCAGTAGATTGCCGGTTAGAGAATAACTATTGGTATGACGCAGTAGGATGACGATCAGAAAATAGCCGATCGTTTAAGTATGAAATTACCAATAGTTGACTGTTACTACGGGTGAATATAGACGATATAGCGTACTTTATACCGAACAGTCAATCTACCGGTGGTTTTTGTCTTGTCTGAATCATATGAAATGATAACTACTGTCATCTAAGATTCTTGATCGAATGATATATGTTAAATAATGGACGCCATCTATCAAAGGAAAATGAAGTCTTCGTTGAATTTAAGTATTCAATCAGCAAATAATAATAATAGAAAACTGTCGTTATTATTATTATTTTTTTTTTTTTGTTGAATAAATTATTATTCGAACTTGAATATTTAAGGCATTGACCAGGTATTACCAACCGTTCGATTTTGTATTAAAAAAAATACATCAATATTTATATAGATTAGAAGATAATGACATCTTATATTAAGAATTCACGTAATTAACGATGATCAAACATAGACTAATGAAGACTTCTGTTTATCGAATCAATTACGTAAGAATATACTCATTTGTTTGCGTTTCAGCCTTCAAGTTGCATTGTAATGTCATTGGTTATCTGTATTAAACAACTTAATTAGCTAATAAAAGTATATATACTTGAGCTTCTATAATTATCATTAGTGAATAGAACGGAAAGATGAAAGAAAAATATTCGATAAAGATGATGAATTACATATAATTATTAGATTTTCTTTATTTCTCATCAAAATTGATAAAAATAAATGATAAATAGTATGCTGACATTTAGATGGAATTGAACGACTTTGAAAAAAAACACACCTAGTTCATTTTAGTTTGCCACATATTTCTATAACACTTTATGGTGAACTTTTACAAACAGCATTAATTATTCTTTTGTAGTTAATTTTTAAATACTGTCTTAATTATTCTAGAATATTTGAAATAGTCAGACAAACATAATTAATATTAACCGACCTTCAAACAACAGAAAAATATGAGAGTACAAAATGTATATCAATTTTTGAATTGAGTCAACCTTTTCGATAAGATATTGACTAAGTTTTATTGAAAACTCTATCATTAGTTTTTTTCTACAAAATTTAAAATTACATAAGAATCTTTATAACAATTTTTTTACATAGTATCTATAATTTGATTAATTAATTGTTATGATTACATTAAATGTCCATTAGAATTACGGTTAATATATCAAAATACACATAAAAGTTATACATATTATTGGCAATATAATAATCAATATTATATTCTAAGAGTAAAATAGCATTTTTAATGCATTAATTCGAATTATTCCAGCAGGTTGATCCATTATCCTTAGTTGACATAAATAGATTTCATTATCTCTAATCCTATACTTTCGATTATGTCATGAATAATGATTATCTTTTATTTTTCTAGTTGATCATATATATATATATATGCTATTCAATATTTATCATACATATGAATCAGTCAAGGTTGTCTTTTATTATGTTTGCATTATGTAAGCCTTATATTCAGCCAATGTTCTATCTATTTATCACACATGTTACCAGTATTGTTTGATGAATATCGTATGGTTTATCATATTCCTCTTTTTCTCTTATTCATCAACAACACAAGAAAATGACAACGTAATATAGTCGGGTGTTAAAGGATGTAGAAAACGAAGATAAGAAAAAAACAAGCTAACAATTAAAATAGTGTAGATGTACTAGAATTTTTTTTTTAATTGAAATAGACAAACAAAATGTAAAGAAAAGAGAATAAGAACTACTCAAAGAAAAAAAAAACCTCTACCGCCCAAGCACCAACAGATCAATAACGAAGATAGTTCATTTGTTATTGTTTATGCTCGTTTTCGAATTAAAATATAATGTGATGTATGAGTTGACATATTATCTCCAATAGCTGGATTACCACCACCACCAGTTGATGCCGATATTTGATAACCCAAACGAATCATTTTACTTATAACATCCATATATACAGGTGGATGTTCGTCTTTTTCAGCCGAATAATTACCAAACCAGACAAATGCTGAATCAGCTGCATTTGGAAGTATTTCAAGAACCAATTCTTTTTCAGCAAATATACGATAATGTTTAGGATAAGATACAAGGACAATCATTGAAACAACATCAATTCGACCAGTAGGCGTTTCATTTGATGTATTAGCAGCAACACCGGTTGTAGTCCCTCCTGATGCCATCGATTATAAATGCACACAAATGTAGATATGAGCAAGTAGTATAGTGCAGTTGTGATAGCTGACAAACAACAGATAAAACAAAAACACACAACGATGTTATTATGATGATGATTATGGAAATCGTCTTTTCTTCTGAAGAAAAGAATAAAAGAACAGTTGAGGTATATCTCATATCGTACAGTAAGATCTTTTCTCTTCCTTTTTTCTTTTTCTCTTATAGCCATCTCCATTACCGCTTGGGACAGGCTGATTGACATGATAGATGATATTTTCCTCATCTGGCAATGTCTTTCTATACTGTGACTGTCTGCTTTCCTGCCTAAACGTTTACTGACTTTGTTTGCTGAAACTGATGGGTGTTACATGTTATTCTGTTGGTTGTTATTATTGTCGTGATCTTATTTTCTTTCCGTTGCACACGTTGTCGTTCTGATAAATAGCAAAGTTCTATCGTTTTTTTTTCTTCATGCATTCCTTTCAAGGCATCATCAACAATGCCTCACAGAAAAAAAACATTATTAATTATGATGAGTCTGATGACACTTAACTAAAAAAAGTTGAGAGTCATTTATTTTCTTTTTTGATACACATGTGTCTGTAGAATAAATTGATTTGACATTTTCAAAATATGATCAATAAGATTATGGAATGTTTATATACATATAGATATATATATTTATATATATATAAAGAGTATTAAAGAAAACAGACATATGATCAGTTTATAATCAGCAGGAGAAAAGGATTTTGACGAAAAGAAAATAAAAGATAATATTAATTGACTGTTTTTGATTATAGAACGCATGTCAAACAAACACATGTTATTATCTATATCAAAAATGAAGAAGCCGACTTAGACTAAAGTGAGAATGATTATCTTTGTTTTTGTTTTTCGTCTGTCTGAATATTTACAGACTTGCCTGCTGTGATATTACATATGTCCTTTATCACACAGAGAACATCTTCAACTATTGGATATAGAAGCATTAATCTGTATATGACTAATTTTTTTTGAGATAGATAAAAGAAGCTTTGACTATGTATGCGTCAATCCTAGTCGTAACTGCTGAACAAAGTGCTTTGAATAAAAACATTAACGTAATTAAGAAAAATGCTATCATCTACATGACCTTCATAATAATAGAATTTTCTATTTTTCTGTAAGCTTTTGTTTATCTTTTCTATTGAAGAGTCTTATTTAGTATGCATTGAAATCCATGTCATTGTTATATCTTATATCTTAGACCTTGTGAAATCATTAGTTCAACAATTGGCTGCGACAAAATATCACTGTTTAACAATATTAGTTTTTTAGATATTAGTTAATTCTATTAATCATATTTACAACAATATTCTATGTACAGAACAGAATAGATACTGAATGAGTATTTATGAATTAATGCTTATCTTGATCAATTATAGTTTTTCATCACTTGTATACAGTTAATCATAATTTCTTTGATTATTCTTTCTCATTGAATGAAAAATTTTCATTGCTAATGTCAACAATAGTAAGAGACACGAAAATTGAAGTAAAATTCCTATAGTACATTTTGTAGAATAGCTTTTACTCTACAACCTGATACATTAATAAAGGTTTTAACATTTACTGACGAGTTGCAATAATAAAAGTATAGCAGTCTATGGGACAAACTTTCCATCCAAATTATTGTTTCGGCCATTCAAATAATCATTTCATCAGTTTTAAGAAAATTTCAAACGCTGCAATCGTATACAACACAAAATTCTGAGTAAAACATAGCTTTTGATTTCTCGAAAATACTTTCAACGTATTTAAAAATAAAGAAAAATTTTGTATTAAAATTTTCGGCTCATTTCTTTAATGATTGAACATATTAGTTCAATATCATTGTTCACACTAATGCTTCAGTAGTTTCAAATTCAGGTAATTATTGATGTATACCAAACACTGAATAGAAAAGATAATATATTATGAATTTTGACTATGAACAATAGAAAAGGAAAACTTGATAAACTATTGTTTATTTAAGATTTTGAATGTGTATCTGGATTATAAATTATGAAGCAGGAGAAATTGTTTATCAACCAATTATTCAATTATTTGGTTTTGATAGTATTTATCATGAAACAATTTTAGTCAATAATAAATATCAATGGCCAATTGTTCAAGGTCTTTTTAAGGTGAAATTAGATATTGTAATTTTTTGTTATTTCTTTTTTTTTTTTTTAATAATAAAAATGTTCAATAGATCTATATTGAACTTAATCCTGGTGAAAACATAATTCAACTATCAACATTAACTTCACAATTATCATTTACACTACTCTATAGCCCTTCGAAAACAACAAATATTACTCTTCGACTTATCTATGTATCATTTTCTGATACTGTTGATCATGATATAGAAAATATATGTAAAAAATTTGTTTTATTAAGTAAACTTGTTCGATCTACATTAGATGAAATTCTCTATAAACAAATAGGATATAAACGTTCATTATTATTTGATATTGAAAGAAAAATTCATCATATATCAATGTTAAAAAAGATTTCGAAGATAAAATAACTGGAGATGATATATTTAAAGAAATCTATCGTCAAATGTATAAAACGAATTTAATTCAAGATTCATCAGTAAAACTCATCATCAAATCATCTATTTCATCATCATTAACATTTGCTTATAGTTAGTTGATTGTTTTCTTTGTTTTTACATATTTGTTTTTTTCTATTTTATTTAAAGCATTTAATAATATAATTGTATTAAATTTACCGAAAGAGTTTAGTTGCCTTCCAATATCATTTGATGAATTCTATGAAAGCCTTAATACAAATAAGTATGAAATAAATTCTAGAAAAATTTATTTTATTTCGTTTTTTATTCTATTAGAGTTGAATCATTGTTTTATTCAGTTGGTGCTTATTTACATGAGCTTGGTCATGTATTTGGTCTTGATCATGGAAATAATCAAAGCTTGACAATAATGTCATCATCTAAAGGGTATATTGATTCTGGAAAAGATTTTTTTCTTGTTAGTCCACATTTATGTTCAATTATATACAATCAACAATGTTCATGTTATAAAGTAAGAATTAACAAGAATTACTATTTATCTTATATTATTTTTCTTAAGAAGCCAATATTAAGTATTTCATGTTCGTATTCAAATGGTGTATTATCTAGACATTCCAAGAATCTTAAATGTTCATGTAAATCAGGTGAAATTAATAGAGTATTTCTTTTTTTTTCTTCTTCTTTTCATTGAATAGTTTTTTCCTTGTTATAGATATTCATTGTCAATTTACATTAAAATTTAATCAACATAAATATAATGAAAAACCGAATCAATGTATATGTAATGGACAATTTCAATTTGATATTGATCATTGTCATCGATTGATAGTTCAATTTGATGAAAGAAAATAAAATATTTTGAATCAGAAATAAAAGAATCATTTAAGTTTTATTCAAAATCTATTATAAAGAATACTAATACATTTTCTACTTGATCACAATTAGATATGTATAGGTGAACGTTTTTTTCGTGCTCTGTACTCTGATTGACAAGCGAAGGTTTTGCAATTAATCTATTGCTGTCTCACTGAAGCCTAGTTGATCAAAGGTTACTAATCATGCTGGTTCTGAATATGATCATGAGAGACCTTTTCAAGTTTTTGTATGCTGATTTTTCATGAAAATGAATTTTAAATAAAATAATACTATCTTGAAAATTTTCAGATTGAAATGTTGATATGTATTTGTTGCATAAATTAAAATAGCTGTATTTTTTGCAGAAAAAGAACGATTTGAAACAGAAAAATCGTTATTTTCTAAGAAATTTGATGTGATCTATAATCTCGACAGATCAGAAGAAATTTTTAACAAAAAAATGTTTTTTCGTCTGGAAAACTATTTTTCTAGAAAACTAGTTCATGAATGTCTAAGAATACTTCTCATGAATAGATTTGAAATAGATATGTTCAATAAACTTCAATCGACTAACTTTCTGGGAGACAGCAATTGATCTGTTGAAAATGTTCCTTCGTGAAGGAACTTTCCTAACTCTTACTTTACTCTACTCGTCAGGATAGAATAATCTTGTGTATCTCTAATCGAAATGAAAAACATTCTATATTTACACTGTCATGTTCTAAAAAATGCTGTTATACTGAGTTCTATCATCAATAATGATTATCTAACATAGATGTGGCATACATGACGAGAAAAGTAAGAATAGATTCTTATGTAGAAAACAGCTAAAAATCATATTACAATGTATTATAATGGCACTATCTTAATTTGTTATTAATCAGATTTTATTTGATTTTAATCGTTGTTAATCTAGTTTAATCGATTAGGAAACTCTAATCCATTCAAATCGATTTGAATAATCAGTCGTAATTGATTCAATTTAATTAATCGATTCAAATAGATTAAAATCAAATGAAATCTGTCTTTAAATCCAAAAAATCTGATCAAAATCAAATTACAAAAGTGCCATTATAATAGATCATTAATCCAAAAAGAATCGATTTCAATCTGATTTTGTGCCGGTTGTTTTTTTTACATGGAATAATCATGAACAGCTAGTTTTTTAAGATGATTGTATTTTTTTGGTATACTGATGCGTTCAGTAGAAAAAAGATTTGTTATTCAAGTTAAAAATATCAAATAAATAAATTCAGAAATTCTATTAAACATTGTGGTAATGATTCAATGCATTCATTCAATATCTTTTATTTCGATATTCAAGTAGTGATATGAAATCAAAACCAATCGAAAATATTTTGCATTGAATAGAATTTTTACAGATGAAAACCTTAGTTCTTTATAAAAGATTTTCACATGTCTAAATAATAATTACTGTTGATTGATTTTATTAAAAGACACATTACTATCATTAGTTATTCAAATACGTCTCTTTTGTCTGAACTTTGTTATTAATAAAAATATTAATTTCATTTTCTGTTCAATTCAATAACTATATTTCAAAATGTATTTCAACACTTGTAATAGATACAATATATAAAATAATAAAAAAACTTTTTTTTTTTTTAATACAAAATGAAAACAAAAAGAAACAAACTCTTTCATATAATTAAATTCATTTATTCTTTTTTTTGTCCATTTAAACATAATTTTATTCCACCACATCGACAATCATTATCATCAATATCTTGTAAATCGATATTTTCGAAAAGTGGATGATATCGTCGTACATTATAAATTAGAACTGGAAATGCAATAGCATGTATTTCACATTTAAAAAAACGCAAATGAAGAAGTCTTTGTTTAAGTATACGAGATAGTTCATTAAAATCAATATGTATAACACATGTATCAATAAATAATCGTTTAATATTTGGTAATAATGATAATAATTGATCAAGTTTTTCAATCCATTCTGGATCACCACGAATAAATGAAACATCAAGTCGTGTAACAGATAAACTTTCGATAGGTTTACTTGGAGCTTTTGCATATATGGAAACAAGCATCTAGTTTAAATCAAACAAACAATTATTTAATAGAATATAATTTCGTTAAATATTAGTATAGAAAAAGATCAAGGTCAATAAAACTAGTTACATCTAGTATGCAAATCGTATATTAATTCAAAATGAATTACGTTTATTTCTGATTTATTCATAGTTATTCAAAACTTATGGCATGTTATTTTTTTTTTAAATATAAATAACAAAAGCAAAATTACCAATATACTTCAATAGATCGATAATATTCATGGTTTGATGAGTACAGTAAAACTTTTGATAGATTCAAAATTTTCAAATGCTCTCTTCTATAAGATTGCGATGACGATTAATGGCTTCGTCGTTTTCCCGAGAAGTTATGGTCAATTGAATTGAAATTTTTTTACGGATACTAGACACTGTTTGGGGTGGGTATCTTTTTATTTTTTTGTCTTTCAGATAAAAAAGCCAAAATCTCAAAGGTACCTTAAAAGATGCATGCTTTTTCAATCAGGTTTTTTTCTGTATGAACTATCAAAATGAAAAGAACAATACTTTTTTTAAACAAAGAAAAAATACTTATTCAAACTCTATTTTCATAAAAAAGTTGGTTTGAGAAAACCACAATTTGTTATTTTCGTTATGTAAATTTGATTTTTTTGTCGAATTATTTATTATTTAAATACAATGATTAAATTAAAAAGGAAAATTCTATCTCTTATCAATTATTAATAGGTTAAATACTATTATAAAATATTAAATTTGAAAGATATTTTCATACTTGTAAATATTTTAAATTTGGACATGAATTAATTACAGCACAAAGATCATCAAAATTTCCTTCTTTTAATTCCATATGAGTTAATAATGGTGTTTGAATTATTGACATATCAAGGTCAAATTGTGATGGCCATAAAGAACAATATTGTAGTTTAGGAAATTTATTTGAAATAATTCGTCGACATAATCGTACCGATATATCACAATCCCAAATTGCCATAAAACCAAGAGTTAAATGAGTTAAATTTGACAAATTTTTTGGTTTTATACAACGTAATTGTTGATCACGTGGAAATAATGATATTAATGAACGTAATGATGGAAAACGATTAAAATGTACAACATTGGAATGTCGTACAATAAGATGATAAATACACGATGCAAAAAAACATACTGCTTCATCATTAATATCTTCTGGTTTATCTAATGTTAATGAAAGTTCTGTTACTGAATGAAGAATATTATTAATGCGTTGATTAAGTTTATAAAAGCCATGATATAAGTTATGTAATGGTATATATTTAAATATTTCAAGAAAGACTTCATCGGGAAATTGTTCGAGATAAGAATAATTGATTGATAAATGATCAGTCATATTTAATCAATTTTATAATTTGAACACAAGATTTTTACTAATATCAAGCAATTGGATTAGTTTATAAAGAAATACTTTCATTGACTATCCGTTTAACATTGGTATTTTTATATGAATACATAATATTATAAACGAAAAATCACTGATATAAAATAGATGTCAGTATTTCAAATGAGTGTTTTATGTTTTTCTTTTCTATAGAACATAAAAATTCCAGTTTTATCTTTATTAGATACGAAATTTAATTTGGTCACGTTTCATTGAAAGAATTTATTTGATACATTTTATTCAGCCGTATTTAATGAAGAAAAACGATTAGAACTGGATATTCTAGGGAAAGTTGTTTTTTTTTTTTTGTAATAATATCTTATTAAAATATTCATCTAATGATAAAAAAAAAACTCTTTTTTTTCATATCGGTTGATTAAATTAAAAAATCGTTAATTTCAACAAATAAATTTTTTTTTTTGTTTCATGAACGCTTGTTTATATTTTTCTTAAATTGTTGCATTGAAACTATGTCGAATGCATCATCTTTTTCTAATTCATAAATCATAAGCAATGGAAAAAAAGTTTAAAAACACCGTATTTTTGATTTTTTTTTTCAATAATGTCAAACATCTTACTCAAATCCAGATAGTAATTTTAATAGCTAATGTAGTTTTCTTTTACCAAGATTTCTAAAAAAAAACAAAGTCAGACACGGTACTAGAAGACTTTGTTGGAGTTATTTATTTGTACTACCATTGAAAAAATGTGAAAGATCACTGTATTTTGTACTATTTTCCGTTAAATAGTTGAAAGTATCATAAAAACCGAAAAAAGCACTTTTGTTTTGGTCGATTTTATGATACTTTCAACTTTTTAAGAAGAGATCATAGAAAATACGATAACTCCTCATTTTGTGCTCTTCAGAATGGCATTGTTAAAACATGGTTCTAACGGAGTCTTCTGGAATCTGAAAACTACCGTGTCCGGTTTTTTAGAAACCTTACCATTATGTTTCATTTATGAAATTTTTATAGAATGTAGACATGCACCAAACCCAAACCCAAACTGTTTGGGGGTTTGGGTTTAGGTATGGGTTTGGGTCTGATGCTGTAACTAGACATGCACTAGCCCTTAACCGTTTTCGTTTTGATGCTTTGAGTATTGAGTTAGAGTTTGGGTTTGGGTTTGGGTATTAGTTTGAGTTTGATCAACAGTCGTATATGAAAAGCTTAGATACATGGGCCATAATCAAATTTGAACCCGAACTCATACCCAAACCCAAACCCAAACCCAAACCCGATACCCAAACTTACCAAACCCAAACCGTTTGGGTCTGGTGCATGTCTAATAGAATGCATTCGATAGAAAACTCCATCTGAATTTGGTCTAATTACTTAACATTACAGGAAAATGAATCAAAAATACATGCTTTTTTTAAACTTTTTTCACTACTTTATATGCAAATGTGAATGGAATGTAGCAGCTTTTGCATTGAAGCGCTGGTGCCAACCCTTCAATCACTGATTGTAGAAGTAAAGAAGCCCGAAAACTTACACCAGCAACCGCTAATCGATTTTGAGCCTTTCTACTCATAGTAACATTGATTCTACAAATGTCAGACAATGTCACGACTGCTCAGTTTATTTTTTTCTCTTTAATACAAGACTTCTTGAGTAAAAATCATAAACTGTTCAGAAACCTGCAAGATAAGATTGAATTTATTGAAACACAATTTTATTAAAGCAGCATTTATATATATATAAATGAATTAAAGTAAAAACACACTAATTAATAGGGCATAGGTCCTAAATCTGTATAGCACAGAAAAACAACAATAAGAATTCTACAATCAACACCTTGCATTTCAATTGTAATAGAATTATCTGTAGCTTGATTCCATAAACATCTTGATGCAATAAATAATCCCGAAACTGTTTTTGGAATAACAGTAACATTAGCAACAATTTTAAAACGTTCTTCACCTAGAGCCATTATTGATGCTAGATATTGTCTAACTTTTAATTGAACTTGAGTTGCTAATGTTTTTAATTGTTTTGTATATGTTATACCAGAATAAAATTGTATGCGTTTTGCTAGGTTACTTATATCTGTATTTTGTTCAAGTTGTTGTTTTAATAAACGCCAATTTATTGAACGAGTTGGTCCTAATTGATACGTATCTATATTTCTTCGAGTTAAACTTTCTCGACGTGGTAAACCAGTATCAATTCTTGGTTGAATATACTTATAAAGTGACATTCGTTTAGGACGAGCATAACCTGGCATATTTGCTGCTGATGAATCTGTTGAAATTGATAAATTTTGTCTTAAAGCAAAACGTCTAGCTGCTTCACGAACCAATGGATTATATAGAGGTGATAATCTTGGTGATTCTATGCTATTATTTGCTATTGCTAATCCTGATACAACATTACGTGTTATTGGTGGAAAAAGAGATGAAGATCGATCTTGAGATTGTTTTCGTAGTAATTGTTCATTTGTATTTCCATGCTCATCAATAGATTCTAAACGTAGAAAATTTTCATCCATTAAACGTTGCTCTTTTGTTGATGTTTCGTTAGACGTCATCCTAGTAACAGAATAAATGATGATGATGATAAGAAGAATAAGATGAAAAAAAGGAATTTGTGTTTAGTATAATAATAAAAAAAACTCTTCTTATAACGGCACATATGTAAATGATAAGAATGACGAGGAGAAGAAAAAAAACGATCTTATTTTCAAGTTCAAGTATTTACTTGACAACGTCATATACATCTACATAAAAGCATTAAATTTATCTCATAAGACTTTCTTTTTTTTTTCATACATCCTTTTCAACGATTTATAAGCATAATAGAATAAATGTCATGCATTACCATAGTTTAGAAAAACATTGTTTTTCTACGGTAATCATTTTGATTTTGTGAATAAACGGAATAGATAATAGTATAAGGTATAATAATGAATATATTAAAAACAGATGTTTGTCTTTGTTTTTGAAAGTAATGTGATATTACAATGTACTAATCGAATTATATTGTACTTGTATTATCTTGGTAATAAAATGTTCTAGTTAACGAAAAATAAATTAAAATTGAAGCCGTATGAATAAACATAAATATCTGTTGTAAACACCTAAGAAATTTGTTATTTTAAATGAAAGAAATCATTAAAGTAACACAGCAAAACTTGCAAGTACGCTTTGTTCACCTTTTTTTTCTGATTCATCCTAATTTTTTTAGTATCATAAGCGATAACGAGTAAATATGATTGATGACAAACATATTGACTTTTATACATTAATATAATGAATTTATTATATACTTGGATAATAAAGTTTTTTAAATGAATAATATATTAGACTAAGACGTTTTTTTTTCTTGATTAAATAAAAGATCGCATAACTAAAGTAAATATCTCATACGTAAAAAAGAAGTCTGATAAAAGTAACTTGATTATTGACTGACATGAAAATGATATTTATGAATTATGTATAATAATAATAACAGTTATAAAAATTCATTTATATTCATTAGAAAAAAAATCATGATAGTTTTTTTTAATATTTTTTTTAAATTTTATCAATCACAATTGGTGAGAAAGACAAAACAATGATGAATTTTGCAATAGAAAACAAATAAATTCACATAATCCTAACACTCATATTGAAGAAAAAAGAAAACATTAATAAATTAGTTCGTTTTGAATTTTGTTAATATTTCTTCTGTTATATTATGCATAAACATGTTGTTCAATATATTTCAATAAAGCCAATACACCAGCTAATGTTTCTTGGCCACATGGAACAATTTGATCTTCGGGTAATAAAAATCCATATTCACCTATTGATAAAAAATTAAAATCGAAACTTATTATTTTTTTTCTTCAAAACATAACAAAAATAAATATTCATTTACCAGTATCTCGAAGCTCAACAGCATAACTAAACATTACTTTAGCTGTACCATATGTCCAATCAACTGTATTACCAGAAGCAATATATATAGTTGCACCAATGTTACCATGATCATATTGAGTACCTAGAATATTCAAAAAAAAAAGAAATCAGTAGAAAAAAATTTGGTATTGTCAACAAACCAAAAACAGCACCAAGTGCATCTACAGCTTGAGCAGAACCATCATCTTGTAATTTGAAATCATTTGGTGGTTTAGTTGTATAACCTATAAAAGAAGATTATATGTTAACAAAAATAATCGAATTATTATTATTTAAATATTTCTAATATTTACCCCATGGTGACATCCATAATTGTGAATATGAATGAAAATTAATATAGTGTACAATACTATCATTATTAGCACCAATAAAATTTGAAACTTGTTTTGTTTCAATTTCAGAAAATGGTTTACTACCACAATATGTATCTGAACATGGATCATGTGATGCACCACCTATGAATAAAACAAAAAAAACACAGAAAAAGAATATTGATTTCATAAGAATAAAGAATTTTACCTTTACACCATTCATAATCCCAATTACGATTTGGATCAGCACCATAACAAAGAGGAATAATTGTTTTACTTCGAGTCTTACGCCATAAACGATCTAAAGAAGATAAGAAAACAAACAAATATTTCTTCTCAATATACATTTGAATTTCATTTTCTACCTTTTGTCCATGTATATGAATAACCATCAACATTAAATACAGGTAATATATAATAATCAAATTGATCAACTAAATGTGTTATCGTTGGATCTGTACTATAATTTGATAAAAGTGCATGAGCAATATAAATAACTGTTGCTGGACTAATCCATTCTCGAGCATGTATACCTTTAAAGATAAATATAGAAAAATAATAAAAATTACAAAATAAGAATTACCTCCATCCCACCATACAGCTTTTTTCTTATTTATTGGTGTACCGTCACGTTTAGTTGTTAATTTACTCGACGATATTTTTAAGCCTTTCATATCACGTTTTTCATATGATTGACCAACAGTAAATGTTGATGCTAATGTTGGATAAGTTTGAACCATTTTATCAATCCATGCATGAATATCATAAATTGTATGATATTTATCATAAGCAAAATCATCAGCATTTACAGTTGATGGACGTAATTTATGTAATAATTTTTGTTTATCAATAATTGCACCAATATCTTTCATAATAACATCATATTGAATTTTATCATTAAATGATGATAAATATTCAGCAAAACTATCAATAACTTCAGGTGGTACACTAACATCGATCTAATTAGGACAAAAATTTTATTTAAGAAAAATTTGAACTTTTAAAAACAAACGAACATGTCTATTCGAAATATTAGAGTAAATAAAGAGAAAGTTCTTTATTATCTTTTATATAAAAATCTGCATTGTACTCACGATCATAACCAAAGAAAAAAGAAGTTTCTACAATAACCTTATCTAAGAAACTCAGAAGAATGAGTCCATGAGAATCATTTTTTTAAAATTTTCTTGTCTTAAAAATGCCATTTAAGATGTGAGGATAGAATAGTCTTCTGCGAAGCAAAAATGCTACTTATTGGTTGTGACCAGCGCTTGTCACAATCAATTCTCAACATTTTTCTCTACCGAAAATTTAAAACAAAGAATTCTATTTAAGTTTTTCTTCTAGTCTAATTAGGAAAGACTTTTGTGACAAACGTTTTCTTTTTTGTTTTAATCACGATTGTGATGCGATGTACATCACTTTATATGTTTATAAAAATCTAAAAAATTAAAAATCGATTAAACTTACAGGAACATTGATACGAAATTCTTCCGACCAAAAATTAATACCATGTATATGTGCTAAACGACTAAATTCAAGCATTCTAGCCACTTGTTCATTATTTTTGATATGTAAACGCCATAGTTGATGCTTCGAATAGGATTTATAAGCATAAACATTCGAAGCAATTATTCCTAGTAGAATAAAAGCGACAATTGAAGAAACCAACAACCTCACCATGGGTATATGATAATCACAAAATATCTACACAATGAAGAAAAAAGACCTGGCAGGTAACTTTTTTTATCCTAGTATTTATATATGTAAGCAAATATCAGAGCACAAAAGATATGAAAATAAAAATAGATAACGTTTTCGGTTAGCCCTTAGCTCTTCTTTATATTTGTGGGCAGACAGATCTGAAGAAACAAACAGTTACAAGATCTAGAGCAAAAAAAGCAAGTCAAAGAACGAACGAAACGAACGATATTTTTCTTCTGTTCGTGTTAGTCAAAATATTCTAACAGGTGGTACGTGAAGAACAATCCTCTCAGTATTTTCAGAATACCACATGTAAAAAAAAACGAATCTTTTATTAATTTTCAGCACCTACGTTCTCATTTTCAAATTAATTTTGTTTTGTTATATTAATTTTAATCTATATTCTGTAATATATATGTGAATTTATCCAATACTCTGTAATCTGATAAGTTTAGATTGGAATTATGAAGAAGTCAATAATCCTAGTATAGATCAATTATCGATTTAAAAAACAAATACTATAGTAATGTAAAGACTATGTTGTATTATTTAATTTCTAAAGGTTATTGTATTTTTAATAATGTAAATTTTAAATCATTGAAATTCATTGTTTAAAATGGTTTCTTTTTTTCTAACGAATGGCAAGTGAACTTAACGTAAAAAAGAAAAGGTTAAAATGATGAATTCAATTATTCAATAAAATTCATTAAAGAAAAAGTAATAATTAAGTCAATTGTTTGTATCATTTATTAAAAAAGTTATTTAAAATCAACAAATAAAACTATGCGATTTCGTAGAAAATTGGATGGTGATTTCTAAAAGTATGTTTAAATAGATCAAAAAGTGATCGAACAATTCCAGAAATATCGAAAAGATTATTCTTTATAGACTATCTTGTTATTTCAAAAACAATAGGAAAGATTTTATAATAAATAGTCTTTTTAATTTTCATGTTGTCTTCGTATGAAACTTTTTTATGAATGAAAAAAAAAAAAGACTTTTCTTTCGTTCTTATCCCTCACTGTTCTTCATTTATCAAACAATCAGTATGTATTCCAACCTGTCTCGTAGGCAACAATAAATAAAAACAGACATAAAACAAGGAAAATAAAACCGAAACAAACAATCGCTCACTAAAAGTACGATCGAAACAAGATATTATCATGTGTGTTTTTTCGTTGTTCTCTTTTTTTCAGACTATCAACATAAAAAAAAGAGATATACGCATTGACAAATAGCAAATGCGAAGAAATAAAAGTCAATAATTCTGTCGATATATGTTTTTTTCACTTGCATATTGCATCGCACTAGCATTTGAAAAATAAAGAACTAAACGAACAACAACAATAATAATATAAATAACAGCAATAAGAAAAGAAAGATACTGTTCAGGCTATACATATCCTGAAAAAAAAATATGACAGATAGATATACACCACCGAGAAAATAAAAACAATGAGAGAAAAAGGAACGGATAAAAAAAAACAGACACAAACATATCAGCTGTTTGAGAAGGAAAATCATAAACAAAACGTAGACGTAAAACTTATTTCACTTTTTCAGTTTGTTGTTGATGAGCAGTTCGTTCATTACGTCGTTTAAATAAATTTGATTCACCTATCGGACCAAGTTTTAAATTTTTATTTGGATTTGTATTGATAGCATTGAATGTAGCATCAAGATTATGCTAAAAATAAAAAAGTAATCAGTTTTGATATCTTTGTCTTTAAAACAAAAATTCAAAGCATTAGCTTACTCGAACAAGATTATAATCTTGAATGTTGCTTAATTTCGTATTCGGAAGGCTATCCATATTAGCAAACCATGGATGTTTACAAAGTTCTAATGCTGTTGGTCTTTTCTTTGGATCTACATCAAGCATGGCACTTACCAATGCCTAAAATAAATCATAAAATAATTTGTTTTTTTTCTTCTTTTAAATAAAACAAAAATCAATTAATCTACTTTTGCATTATCTGTTACACGATCCCAAGTTGGTCCCGTAAATGATAACTTATTCGCCGTTCGTGCAAGAATAAGTTCATGTGAATCATTACGATCGAATGCAAATGGTGTATTACCAGCTAATAGAGTATATAGAAGTATTCCAAGACTCCCTAGATTTTATATTATTAGATAAAGATAATTTCAAAGAATTTTATAACATACATATATCACAAGATTCATCATATTTTTTTCTTGATAAAACTTCTGGTGCCGCATATTCTTTTGTAAAACATGGTGTCATTAATAAACCATTTTCTGCACGTTGTTGTTTAGCAAAACCCAAATCAACTATACGTAATGAGGATGGTTGACGACCTGGATCAACATACATTATATTACGAGGTTGAAGATCACGATGTACTAAACACAACCAAAATAAAAATGTTTTTTAATTATTTTAATTGAAAAAATAAAAAAAAAAAAAACGAAGAAGAATTTTACCGATTGAATTTCGATGTAATTGATCAATAGTTTTTATAATAACATACATAACTTTTGCACTTTCACGTTCAGACAAAGATTTTTCTTGACGAATTTTATCAAATAATTCACCACCACGCATTAATTCTGTTACAATATAAACTGTAGGTGCATTATAAAATGCATCACGTATCTAAATTAAACAACAAAAAAGAAATTTTCTTCTTTTTTTTTTTTTTCAAATAGTTTTTTTTTTCACGTACTCGAATAATATGTGGTAATTGATTATAACGAAATAATAATTCAATTTCATCAGATGGATCATTTATACTTGGATCTTTTATTATTTTAACAGCATATTCTTCACCTGTTTGTCGATGTATACAACGATAACATGTTGATGTTTTACCATGTCCTAAAGCTTCTTTTACATCATATTCATCTTGAAATGGTGTTGATTTAACACCAACTATTGATCTTAAACGTCGGTCAACATTATTTGCATATGTTGAATCATTTTGACGAGCATGTATCAATTCTGGCGCAATATAACTAAAACCATGGAATGATTCATGAGCCTCAGCACTTGGTGGAATACCAGGTGAATCTATAGAGAATTATAATCAAAAATATAATAAACGAGAAAAAGAACATGTATTTTCTACCTGTTGGTGTTTTACATGTAAATTCTTTATCAAAATAATGTGCAAAATCGGAATGAATAGGTGGTATAAAGGGTGGTTCAATTTGTTTTTTATATAATTTATCCCAATCAATTGATTCAAAAAATGGATGATTTTGTATATTACGAAAACCATCTGGTCCAGCACCTAATCGATTAGCTGGATTACGTTTAAATAACATTCTTAATAAACTTTGAGCTTCTAATGATGGATATGTGGGCATAGCTAATTTAGCTTTTAATATCATATTCATTGTTTCTTTTCTATTTGCACCATGAAATGGTAAATGTCCAGTTATCATTTCAAATGCAAGTACACCAAATGACCACCAATCAGCAACATGTGAATGTCCTTTACGTGAAACAACTTCAGGTGACATATATTCAACAGTACCACAAAATGAAAATGTTTTTGAATCTTGTGTTGGAACTGATTCTTTTGATAGACCAAAATCAGTCAATGCAATATGACCATCAGTATCAAGAAGAATATTTTCTGGTTTTAAATCACGATAAACAATACCAAGTGAATGTAAATGATCAAGTGCTAAAGCTAATTCAGCTAAATAAAATTGTACATCACGTTCGGTGAACATAACTAAATTAAAAGAAATAGTTTCTTGTTAATTAGATTAAATAAATAAAAAAAAAAAAAATATATATATACACATACCTTCTTTTGATAAACGTGTGAATAGATCTCCACCGCGTAAAAAGTCAAGGACTAAATAAACTTTGCCCTCAGTTTGAAAAGCATAATGAAGTTTGACTATAAATGGATGTGAAATTTGTGCAAGAATATCTCGTTCCATTTTTGTTCGTTGACGATCACGAACTATTATTTAAAATAAAACAAATATTTCTTATTTTCTCATTAGAAATAATACTAACCTTTAAGACTTGCTTTCGTGAGTACTTTCATAGCATAGAGGGTAGCAGAATCGGGACCGACAATTTTACGTACGAGGAAAACCTAAAAAAAAAGAAAAATAATATTATTTATTAATTTAAGTTTTATAATAAAAAACAAAAAAGGTAAACTATACTTTTCCAAATGAACCAGCGCCAAGTGTTTGTAAGAGTTCAAATTGTGACGTATCTGCTCGTTCACATCCTTCTTTTGTAATATTAGTAATTTCAATTTCACTTTCAACACTATTGCTGTCATCCTAAAAATTAAAAAAAACAAATTTTGCTTTTTCTAAGAATACATGTATATATATATATATATATATTAATCAAAGATAATTAGACATATTATTTTTTGTAAGCATATATTATATTATAATAACTGTTTAAAATTATTATATTCATCAAAGTGAATCCCACGCAAGAAGGAAGAAGCATTTTTAATTGATCAATTTTTTTGTTTACGTATTCATTTTTTTTTTTGAATCAAATCTTTCTTAAGAATTAAGAAAATTAAATATATGTAGATTTGCAGAAAGAAATATTGATAAGATAATCATATGAAAAGCTCTCTATGGTTAAGACTTTGATCATCTAATCAAATTGTTCAATAGACAAAAAAAAAAGACACAGATAAATTATACCTTCTTTTTTAAATGCATTCTATGTTGCATACGTATGCACGCTGTCAAACCATCTCAAAACGGAGGTATTGAAAACGAAAGCTGTTCTTTATCGCTTTCGTATATTAAAATGGCGAAAAAAAATCAAAAAGCTGAATATCCTTCTTTTTTCTTTCTTTCTTTTTTCTTCATTTCTCTTATTCTTTTTTTTTCTTCACTGTCTGCCTAATCGCTCATCAACATCACGATAAGGCTTCGATCATGACAATGTCAATCACAGAGCTGACTAAAACATGGCAAGGACATATCTAGCGCATTTTTTTTCTACTTATACTATTGTCAATAATATAAAACAATATGACCCAAATTCAAATACACAAAACAAAGTTCTTCTCATCCGTTATGTTAATCTTTCACATTGTTGCATTTTATATTTGTCTATCTGTCTCTGTCTCGCCGTGTTTCAAGGCAATCATTATTAATGGAAGTTGTTGAGAACAAAAATATTATGGAAAGTCAGCTGATTGTCTATTACGAAATCCTATTAGTTGATTTCTTGTTTATCTTTACATATCACTTAGCAATATTGTTGTTTTGTGTTTTTTTCACACTAAGTATATATATATATATGTATATTAAGGCACATTTCCAAGGTGAAATAACATCACAACATTATAACAACACTACTAGTAACGCAAGGTCGCCAATGGTTGCCATCTATTATTACTAGAAACAGCAGAATCAGAGAAGAGAATGAAAGAACGTCACGAAGGAAACGATAGAGTATAAACGAGTATTTTTCAGATGTGTGTCAATAAAAATACTCATAATTAGATGGGGCAAATTGGTGCATCTTTTCTCTTTTGCATTCTCATAGTTTAGTTCTATTCAGTTACAAAAGAATATAAATGTCTGAGAATAATAAAAGGACACTATGTTGAAATATCCTCCTACGCATTCTCTTAGCTTTCTTTTCTTCTCAATTTAATCATCAGCACAAGAGAAATCCATTTCATGAAAACAACTACTTGTATTGAATACATGTTATCATATATATATATTTATCGAAAACAGAAAAACACATATGTTATTGGGAGGTGTGAATGATGATGAATTAAGTAACAGTCGTATTTACAGATAAATGAGAAAAAAAAACTAGTTTTCACCTTATCATTTGATAGAAAAAAAATATATTTCAAATCAAATGAAACCTAAAGCTTGAATTACATTAATCAATCGAAACATAAGTTGATTTTTTTGTTTCCGTCTTTGCATTTTTTATCGAAAAAGAAAAAACTCCCACTTTTTTTTTTCTCTATCAATCGTAATATTCTTCATCATATGAAAGATTAATAATCGTTACGTTGGCATGAATAAGTAAGGAGGAAAAAAAAGAGCCTACGCAGGAAAGAAAGGAAAAAACAAAAGACATGAAAAATATTCGTCACTACAATCATCGATATGATGAAATAAAAAATGAAATTATTTTGATGACTTTAACCATGGGAGAGATATCACTATGGAAAATAATAACAATAACAGTAACATTATATCAATCAAAATATGTTGTGAATGTCTAGACAAAAAGATGTTTTCACATTATGTATGAGAGAAAAAGAGAAAGATGGAATTATATGTAATTTTTCATCTCGAAAGAAAAAAATAATGAAAAACAAAACAACAAAGAAAGGAATCACTTACAGATTTTAAATCGAAAGTTGTAAATTGTTGTACGGGTGTAACTGATGAATTTGATTCTGTTACTAATGTAGGTAGAAATAATTGTGGTGTTATAGCTAAATCAACTGAACTTAATGTATTCGTATTATTATCTTCACTAACTGTCTTATCAGAATTTCTAATACATTGAATAAATGATTTTCGTTTTTGACAATCATAAGTTTTACTATTTACAATTCTATTATTATTTTCACCGGTATGATATAATTGTTGGCAACTATGATAATTGTTTTTTTTTGATAAAGGAGTATTTTCAATATCTGTTCTTATGATTGATACTTGTGGACTAGAAGGAGATTTACAAAACTCAATTGTTGATTGATTCATATCGTTTGATAATTGTTGATGATTTTTAAAGAAAAGATGTAATGATGTTGAAAGGGAACGATATCGACCATTTTTTTTACGACGTAATGTTAAACAATGTAAACGTTTGAGTACATTTAAAAAAACATTTTTATGAGTAGATGATGTTTGTGTTGGTAAAGCAACATTCAATGATGATGAATTCGATGACAATGATGAATGTCTTGATGATATATTTGAATCATGTGTGTCGATACCAGCGCCTGATTCACATGAACTTAAATAAAACGTATGATGTTCAACGTTTCGAGGAAGTTCCAGAAAATCCATAGATACTTGATCGTTTAATCGAGTGTCTTTCATAAATGAGTGAATAAGTAAAATGATCTATTTTCAAAAGATACGGTAGGAATAATACTATAACCTTTAACTATGGTCATCGCGTACTGATGACACAATACAAAACAAGAAAAAAACGTCAGTAAAAAATATGGAAAAAGAAAGAGTAAAAGAAAAAAGGGTAAAGAAAAAAAAGAGAATGAGTGGGAGAATAGTTTTTAGATATAGAAGAGGAAGAAAAAAAAAGTGTTTTGCACTTCTTTACAATGGGCACTGCGTGTAGAAAACAGTAAAAGCGTTGAGAAACGAAGCAGCGATGATTGCAATATTGTCGTCATATAATACAAAAACATTAGCGCGTGCGTATATAACGTTTGCTGAATGACGTCATGTTCCTACTCGTGATAGGCAAAAAAAAATCATTTGTTGTCTTCTTTTTTTCTTTATATCTACTCGACTATTCATCGACCTCTTAGCCGAAAAGGTGACATCCAAACAAATCTTATCCTTTTACTCAATATACATCTAAGTAGCATGTGATTAATAATTTCGTTGCTTAATTACAATGAGTCATCTATATATATTGAACAAGAATGTTCGGGAATATTCTGAAAAAGTTGTCTATTTCCTTCTTAATTTACATTCATAGAATATTAATCATCAAAAAAAAAAGAAAAACAACCCAAGCATTAATAGCAATGGTAGAAAATAAAAACCATAATTAAAATCAATTCATTTTTCATTCAATTTACCATTTCATAACTACTATTAGTCGAAGATATCTGCAATCATATATAATTGCATATAAAAAATTTATACAAAAAAAAACAATAGAAAATAAAATAATCGATTATGATTTATTACTCACAGTAGAAACAGTTTCAGGCAGATCATCATCAGCTAACATATTACTAATATTTGTATTTGTTGTTGCTTTAGCAATATTTGAAGACAAACCATTTCTATCAAGATTAGTTCTACACTAAAAACAAAACAAAAGAAAAATACAATTGAACTTAATAATATTATATTCATGAATAACTATATCAAATACAAATATGTATATATATATATATAAATTAATAAAAACATAAAAAATGATTAGTTGATTAATGTTATCAATCCTTATTTTTTTTTTCTTTCTATCAACCGAAATAAAAGGCTTACTCATATAGAAGTCTATGATAAAATGTATAGATTTCTTGATTTGATAATGTATTGATATGAATTGAAAAAAAGAAATCAAATTTGAATTGTATTGCTAATGAAATCGAACTTTTGAAAATGAACGGGAATAATGATTTTGAGATACTTTCTCAATCATTATTTTGTTGTTTACATAGAAAAAGAAAAATCGAACTTGAAAAGGTCATGATAACATTGATAGGTAATTAGTAAATACATCGGAAACCCGTCTGAGGAAATTCGAATTTTAGGTTATTTTCGAAATAATATGATATATACTCTAGTAGGCAAAAATAATTTCTAATTAAATTAGTAGAAAAGATCAAGAAAATCAGTAACTTTGCCATGGGAAATCAATGATGTTTTTTTTTTGTATGTTCTTTTAGTCTTCTGAATCATCATTTCTCATGAACACAATTTATAGTTAAAATATTTGTAATCTTTTTCCTTCCCGTTGGCCATCGGAGTGACCATTTGCAGAACGACTATAAAAAAAAAACATGAGATTTGAAAACGATAAGAATATCTTTTGTAGAATCCATCCAAAAAGTCTGTGAGTGTGACTATTTTTTGAATAACTTGAGAACAAAAAACGATAGAGACATGCGGTTTTCACCATTCGAAAGAGTAGTATCAGAAACATTTATCTATGTAACAGCTACTAGGTTTGAAGGATTCTTCTTCCATGGCTTCTTTTAAACTGATATTTTTTTGCGCTGTCTTTTTTTTTATCAAATTTCAGAAGAATTTCAACTCAAATAATACACAAGTGTAGTCGAAACCACCTTCTATTCGCGATCAAATTTTGAGTTGCTCTTTCGATCTTTTTCACTGACAGGTTTTCTAAGAACATCATAATTTTTGTAGGCATATGGGATGTTTTCGACCACACTTGTGTGTAATTTGAATTGAAATTTGATGGAAAAAGACAGGGAAAAAATATCAGTTTAAAAGAAGCCATGGAAGAACCCTTCAAACTTAATAGCTGTTACACAGATAGATATTCCTGATACTACTCATTCGAATGGTGAAAATCGTAGATCGGTATCCTTTTTTTGTTCTCAAGTTATTCAAAATATAGTCATACTAACAGACTTTTTGGATGGACTACAGCCAACTTCATGAACTATTAACCGGTAAAAACAATATCTTTTCTTTCGTGCTTCCCTTTGAAAAATCAAGGCTCGAAGAGATATGATTTTGAGAAAAAAATTTCGAAATGTAATGTTCTTCACTTACACTCAATAGAGAGATCTTTTGGAATTTCTGTATGATATAAATTGATGAAAAAGCTCACTGGTGACTTTGAGATGTTTCAAAAACTTCACGATAACTCAACGAATTATACATACTTCAGTATATAGTTGACGGTGGAGCTAATATTAGGCAATCAAGAACAAAATTAATATATGTACTTTGAACTTCAACTTATGAGTAGTTGAAATACTATTTACTATGAACTGAATGTCTTCAGAGATTATGAAATTGCTGAAAACAAAATAGATATTTATTTAAAAAAACATGTTTCAAAAACACAATATGATTATTTAACGTTAATTTTCATTTATTTGCTCCTTCATTTTTCCATTACTGTACTAAAATGGGATTGATGTTAGTTTTGCTCATTCAATAATGTGATCAAAGAAAAAAAAAGTCAAGGTTTAGTATGTCGTTCGACCCCTTTTCTTCATCATACGATCATTGGACCAATCAAACGTCTCTACATAAAGATATGAATATTCGCTGAATGAGAATACATTATTAGCATATTAAACAGGATAATACTTTATTGAAAAAGTAATTTAATCAGTGGGTCTTCTGAAACCGCTGTGGTGGACGAAAGGTTAATGATAGCTAACAAAGATTTTATTTAACAAAGTAAAACATTTGAAGAATTTTTATATACTAATAGCAGTTGCTTATTTTTCTGTTAATGATCATCTTTCGATCTATTCTATTTTATTGAATATCAAAAAATTCAAGGAATACGATGATAATAATCTATTTACTTATCTTTAAAACTTCAAACATTACATAACAAAACTAATTTCATAAAACGTCTAATAAATCGCTTATTTTTATGATAAAAAAAACAATCAAAATGACTACTTAATTCAAAATCATGCCATAGGTTCTTATGTTAATACTTGATTTGCAAATATCATGATGACATGAATATAAATATATTCTAATGAATGAAAAAAATAATAATAATACTCATATCATCATGTCTCATTAAATCTAAATCCTATTTTACCAGAATAAAAAATGTTGTATTTATTGACATGAAATTAAATATATTTTATAATAGAAATATGATCTTAATCATTTCATTCTATTTAAATATACGAAACTCAACATTCTAATTCATATCTCATCACATCATCTAATCGATATATGAATCATATTCATTAAAATTTTTTTTTTAATGTCAATATCAATTTTTTTTTCCTCACTTTACATGTCACTTGAGATTACAGTAATACCTATCTATCAATTTAATTAATTATATTGTTTATTGTTAACCTCACAAATGAATGCGTAGGATAAGTAATTAGAAGTGACTACTCATATTGCACGTTTATTTGCACTATCAACAGTTTACCAACAATGAATTGTCGATCGAAGAACAATTATAGATATAATATGATAAAATAAACGCTTAAAATATAGCCGATCTTTTAAGTATTAAACTGTCGGCAGTAGAGCACAAATTATACTGAATGATTTACTTGTGGTTTTTGTTCGGTTTGAATTATCTGAACGATCGACAAAATCTAATTGTTTCATTTATTAGATATTGTTCGTATAACTTTTCTATAGAATCTTTTTATTTTATTAACAATTTTATTTGAAAATAATAAACTAAATGCAAAGATCAAAATAGAAATTTGAATTATCAATTAGATTAGAAAAGCTAATCAACAGATATGCTTTTAAAACAGAGCAAAACGCATTAAATAAAACATCCCAAGTTATTGTCTATAGGGTATAGAAATACTTTATATTTCAGTATGACATTCAATAAAATATTCCAAAGTTCTTTTGACAAGAAGAAAGTGTTGTCGATATGTTGCATTCTTTATTTCCATTGAGATTTCTTTAAGTAATATTTTCTTTTTCATTTGACAAACGTGTCAAGATGACTTAGATGTGAACATGCCTAACTGTCACATGCTGTTCAACATCTTATTATGCCTAGAATAGATCCATGCGATAATCAAAAAAAAAAAATAAAGATCTAAAAGAATTTTTTTTTCAAAAAACTGCGTATTGCCTATTGATAGATCTAATAGTCAGCACACAATTATGTAAGTTTCAAGAAAAATAAATGTATATTTCTTGAGATATTCAATGTTAAAGTCAATTAGATTATTGTATGATCGTATCTTAAATTACTGTAAGCTTTTTTTTTGGAAAATTAAGTTATTGAATCTATCTATAAGTAAAATGTCACCTCAAAAGTTTTTATTTTAGATTTTTGGGAAATGTTTTGCTATCAGAAATGATAAAAATGCCCTACATGGAAACGAGTTTTTTAAGGGCTTCTTTTCTAGTCTCATACAGACTTATTCGTACCTATGATATGAAGGTGAACAATGTTTCACAGTTGGAAATATTCTATCATTGGAGTTAAAAATAGAATGTATTTTCTTTTTCTTTTTAACATATTGATTAATTTTGACATTATCTAATTAATAAAGACTGAATCTAAGAAAATTACTTCTTTTTTAAAAGGAAAAACATTTTTATTTTCATACTTAGACACAATTTAGTCTAACAAAAAAAAAGGTCATATTTAATACAAAAATGACAAAGTAAGAAACTCATATGGCAAATAGAGAAGCTCATTATAGATAATTATAAAAAGTCTTTTTTTAGTCCGTTAAAGTTTTGCACGTATAAAAATAGTTTGGTGAAAAAAAAAACAATAATAATTTACATAAATTATCATATATCAAATTCTAAAATCTAGAAATATAATATCTGTCAGCTTTTTTTTTTTTGTTTTTTGAAACATATACAGATAAATGAAGACATTTGAATAGTCTTTAGAAAATATTTGATTGTATTTAATTCAAACAAAACATAACATTTAACTATAATACAAAAATCATATCAAAAATAAAAGATTTTTAATAATTATATTGAAAAACGTTTGTATAAATCTTATTTTAATTATTTTCTTAAATTTTTAAATATTACTTTCCATATAGATCGAATAAGAAACTTTATATAGCTTTTTCTCTTTTATAACACATGACATTTTGACATCTACAGACTTTTTAAACAAACATTAGTCTTGTCATATGTAACTAATTTCACGTGATGGTTTTATTAAGTGACAGATAATATTTAGTTACTCGAAGAAATTTTTCGCATATATAGGTAATGAGAAGGTAACAAAGAGTAATTAGTTTCATAAAAAAAAAAACACAGGTGTCAAGTATTGTAAATATATTCTTCGTTAATTGAAAGAAAAAAAAAAAACAAGAGACAGCTATACTAAGAAAGAATATAAAAATGAAAGATTATACTTTTGGAAAATATTAAAATATGAGAATTATCTTTGATGTAGAATTAGTATTCTGAAAATGCACTTTTTTTTTCTTTTCCTTTTGTTTTGTAAAAGATAAAAAATAAAGCTATAGTTAATCTTTTTTTTGATAAAATATAATAAGAATAATATTACAAATATTCACTTACATTAACTTTTGTATTACTTTCTTGACATATATTAAATTCCGTATTAATACTAGGCACTTTTACTTTTGATAAGGCAGCTTCAGATTCAAGTAATGATACATCATCTTTATAATTTTGTGCTAAAGGCATTTGTGAATCGATAACAGTCACTAAACTTTCTAATAATTGTCTTGATATTTGTGGTTTAGATCTTTTTATTGATGTTTTGGATTGTATTGACGTTACAGTTAATGATTGTTGATGTAGATTATTGGATTGAAAAAGTGATATTACATCGATTGGAGTGATTGTTTCGCACGTATGTGGATTCGTCGATTTCTAAAAAACAAAACAAAATATTATCGTTGATGATAATGATTAGTTATTCCATTTGTTTTTTTTTTCTGTAACATGTCGAAATCTGATAATGTCGGAGTTTCTACGCACGAGACATTCGCTGTAAGCAGCAGCAACAAATAAAAACCCCTCATATTAAGAACACACTAGAGAAGAGAAAAAAAAATTGTACCCCTTCTACAACTGAGTATCTAGATTTGCTGTCACTCTATTAAACGCACACAAGAATGAGGAAAAAAAATCAGAAGAAAAAAACAGAATACTGAGTGACATTTTTATAGGGTAAGAAGGAAAAGAAAAAAATTCATGGAAGAAAGCAAGGAAAAAATATTATAATTACCAATGACGGTTGATAGTAGTTGTGTGGGCGTTATGTGCGCGTGTAGCATATGGAGATAAAAGAATCGAAAAGCTGTAGAATAAAAAAGAAGTGAGTGATAATGATGATAATCAAGTCTACAGAGGAGGAAACGGCCGAGTAAAGCTGTTTTTTCAAATATAGATTATTAAATACGTTTCTCCTGAGATATGAACAAACTTATTATTATAGACGCAAAAAGAACAGACATGTTGATGCATCTATAATACGAAAAAAAAAATTTTGTATTTTCTAATAGCATTCATCCTTCAATTTCCGTATTCTTTGAAAAATATAAACAACAAAGAAAACGTACTTATCTTCGTCGAATATCCATTTAGACAACTAAAGTGATCGATCAATAATACAAAAAGAAAAAAAGAAGAAGAAGAAGATAGATTACATTACAGATGAATATACATCACCCCACGCAGTGACAACAATTTTAGGGAACTTGATTGACAATTTAATGTCTAAGAATAGAAAAACTTCCGCTGTCCTTGTATTATATATATATATGATGTTGTTTTTTATGGAATGCAATCATATTCACATAAATATTTCTTTTTCTTGTATCATTTAAAATAATAAAATAGAATAGAATGTGTTATTATAAGTACACTTTAAAAAGAAATGATAAGAAATACGATAACAACATGTTAGTTCGTAACAAATTAGCATTAGTTATCAGCATTTTAAAAACAACTATTGATAATACACAGTACACGACATAGATTTAATATATACGGATGATAAGAAATGTAAATAGGGATGTTTTACATTCGCGATTTTTATTTATTAACCTATCTCGGAACAGTTGAGATTTAATGATGCGTACTATTTATTATTGATCTAACAGGTATTTCTCTATGATTTGATGCGAACGAGATACAAATACGCTGTATTCGGTCTTTGAAAAATTAATAGAACTGATTAGAAATGAAAATCAATTTCCGTGTTGCATTTTTTTTTTATTTTGTAAAAAAAAAAGAATTCTGTTTTGAAAGGGCAAAATATTTTTCAACACCAAGGTCATTAATTAATCTAACACATTTTTCATTGTGAAAGTCAATATTAGAATTATATTTCAAAATAATATGATTGTTACATATAGTTAGGAAATGAAAGTTTTGTTGTTTTTTTGACGTTAAAAATTTCTCATACGCTCGAGAAAACTAATTATACTTTGTCGATCAATAAAGCAAACTCAAAAGTTTTGGATTTCTATATGTTATATACATACAAAACAACATTTCTTGCGTCTAATCTTTTTTATTTACTCATGAATAGAGAAATGATATATTTAACATAGTCAATAATTGACCAGAGGAAATGATCATGAATGAAAAATTACTTTTTGAAAGTACAATACTAGAACAAAAGTATAGTTTTTAATATATTTACTTGTTTCTTTTTCTTTCGTATTGATTGTTTTGATAATAATGGCCATGGTTTGCATAGTACTCTTTTAACTATAATACCAAAATTTTCAACATAAAAACTACATTGTTTTACAATGTAACTAAAACAATCAATCTTTTTATCATCAGTATGAAGAGTCATTAACGAAACGACTTGTTGTTGCATGGGGATCTATTGTTAATCGAATGAGTGAAAAAGAAAGAGAAAAAAAAATCATATGGAAGGCATGATACCTCGAATCAAAGAAAAAGAATAATATAAACAATTCGTAATCGAATTCTTTATCTTTCAGTGTCATATCGGCCGTCTAATTTAAAAGAAAAATCTACGTATGACATTTCTATTGTTCATTCTTCTAACAATAGATATAAAGATTTAGTAAGAGAATAGTTTGACGTCACAACGTCATATACATATATATACCATATAGAAAAGAATAGAAGAAAAAAACAAGCGAGAAACATACAAAAAAAAAAAAAGAACTTTAGAATCTTTCAAGTAAATCTAATAAATGTTGTTTATGTAAATCTTCATTATTTCCATTGCTTGTTCCATCTGTTGATATATGTTCAAGATTTGTTGATTTTTTTGTATTTCCCAAATTTTTTGCATATTCTTAAAATTAAATTAATAAATAAAGAAAATTTATATTTTTTTTTGCTTTTATTGAATCGAACGTATTTATACATTAATTTCACAAATTGATTATACAGATTTAATGTTAATTTTTTTTTTACAACAAAGATTTGAGAACATACAATCTTTATAGTATTAATTATACAGAGTGATAGAACAACCAATTCTATACTAAATGAGATCTTTTCGAACATTCCATGACATTTTTTGTTAAATTGAACTACATCAATATTAAGAACAACATAAAAATGATTTCTTTTTTTGTTATTTCCTGTGAAATCAAAGACTTTTGTACTTTTCTTAAAATAGATGTACTTCAATTATAAAGAATGTCATCAAGTGTTCGGAAATAGCTCATTTTCTATAGAATGAATTGTTCTTTCATTCTATGTCATCTAAAGAAACTTTTATATTAAAGTTTTTTGTGTGTTGAAAAATTAGACTTTGAATTTTGTAGAGATTCTAGATTTTCGATATACTTTGATGATTTTATTTTTCTCAAAAGTGTCTATAAGTTTTTCGGTGACTCTCGACTATACAGGGTGTAACATCACCATTACGCATCCCTCTAGAACTTAAAGTATATATCAAAGAGTTTTATATACTAGATTAATACTCGTCAAAAAATGGATTTATGAGTATAATTAATAGATTTTAGAATAATTATTGTCTATGAAATTACTGAAATGTTTTGAAATACATGCCAAAATGTACTCGTATTTTACGATTTTTATTCTTCATGTAGATATTTTCACCAAAAATAATAGCAGATTCGTAATCTCCGTAAAAAGCTACATCTATAAACATGTCATTTGTATCTTTTTGACGAAAAAAAATTTTTCAAAAATCCTAAGGAATGCGCATTTTATGCCTAAAATATACACCACGTAAGGCTTTTGAAAAAAATTTTTTTTCGTCAAAAAGATTCAAATGACATGTCTATAGATGTAGTTTTTTATGGAGATTATGAATCTACTATTATTTTTGGTGAAAATATCTACATAAAGAATGAAAATCATAAAATACGAGCACATTTCGGCATGTATTTCAAGACATTTCAGTAACTTCATAGGCAATAATTATTCTAAGATCTATTAATTATAGTCATAAATCCAGTTTTTGACGAGCATTAATCTAGTATATAAAACTCTTTGATATTATTTATACTTTAAGTTCTAGAGGGGAGCGTAATGGTTATGTTACACCCTGTAGAACAAAACATATATAGGCTTGTGTAAAGGGTTATTCTAGATCTAATGATGTACGTATTACCAAGTACTGCAGCGGACTCTTGCAATTTTTGTGCCATTGAACTTGATAATACATATACCATTAGATAGAAGAAGTTTTTTTCTACATATATATCTTGTTTTGTAGTCAAAAAAAAAAGTTTAAGCGTCTTTCTGTATTCAAATTACTATTAGGTTTTTGTTTATAAGAGTTATCACTATGAAAATTAAATCTTTATGATCAATATTTGCAGTCATTGTATATATAATTATCTTACCACGTATTATATTTTTAATAGTATCAATAGAACTATTTCTTAAATTAAGAATTTGTAAAACACGTTGTCGTATTGATGGAATACTTGTTGTTGATGAAGCTATTTCAATAATAATATAATCAATTAATTGTAAAGTAAATAATCCAGCATCTAATCGTCGAAGATAAATTTCATCGTCATCATCATCTTCTTCATCATTATTAACTGCTTGAACACGTTCATAATATTGAAAATGTAATTCCATTAAACGATCAACCTTAAATAATATGATTAATTAAAATACATAATCATATAAAAAAGTTTTTTTTTTTTGTTTTACTTTTTCATGATCATTTTCTGTAAATTTATTAAATACACGTTGACGATTTGAACCAGTACAATTTCTTACTAATGAAGCTATACATGATATAACATGTTCTAGAAAAAACAAAAAAAGAATTTTAAATAAAAATTTTCTAAATGAATATTTTTACCTTCATTTTCTGTTCGAGTTTCACCAGATCGTTTATTTCCTTTAGGTGGTTTCATAAATAATGGAAATATTGTACGTAAACCAAGTATATCAACAATTTTTTGACAATTATCTTTTCCTTCAACACCTGTCATAGCAAAATCTAATGTTCTTAATGCACCATTACGTGAAGCTTTTCGTTCTCTAAAACAGACATAAAAATAAAATCGAATAAATTCAATATTTATTTCTTACTTAAGCATAATATTCATAAGATGAGGTCCTTCACCTTTTAGAAATCGTTGTCGATTTGAAGCAAACATTAATGATGAACATAGACAACTAAATAAATTTTCCATATACTCAAATTCTTCACTTGTTTGAGGATCATGTCGTTTGTAATGCTAAAAATAAAATGAGTCTGTTGAATAACAAAATAATTGAATCATAAATATTTTCTTTTTTTCTTCATTAGATATATTCCAGAGGTTCAAACAAGTCACGTTTTTTAGGCCTACATGACCTGTCAAGTTTTTCAAGCGAGTACAATAATGATGACAGACTAGAAACCCACACCCTCCAAACAGTGCACTAGGGCTATTGCTCAATTTGATCCTGACCTGCCTGTCATAGGTATCACCTATGGTTTTCAGACTAGTGCAAGTCAGAGGTCCAAGCAATTTTTGGCCTGTCACTTGCACTAGTCTGAAAACCATGGGTGATGCCTATGACAGGCTGGTCAGGATCAGGTTGAGCAATAGCCCTAGTGCCCTGTTTGGACCTCTGTTTCTAGTCTGTCATCATTATAGTACTCGCTCTAAAAGCTTGACAGGTCTAAAAAGCGTGGCCTGTTTGGACCTCTGATATATTCTTATGAATTGAAACTAATAGAGAGAGACTGTATAATTTCACAATTTTCTTATTAATTTATATTATGTAAAAAAAATAAACTATTACAAAAAGTAATATATATCTTTCGACATTTAAAACTTAAATATACAACAATGATCATCACTAACTATAAATCTCAATATCATTCCAAAAGTTTCATAAAAAAAACTAGATAGATTAGAAATGATCAGATACAAAATGATCGTTATGAAAGTTTCTAGAAAATAAAATCTTTAATTTTTCAGCGCCTACAACTCTGGTATGACATTTTGCTTCTATTATATTTTATGATAGAAGAAATGATGCTCGTCAAAATGAGGCGTTTTACTAAAGATTTCCAGTAGAGTATTCATCAAGCCATTCCCATTCCTCAATGATCACGGAACTGTCTTCCAAAGCGAGAGTGTCAAATCAATCTATCTATACTATTAATGCATCGGAAATATCAATACTCTTATTTCAATTATTGTTTCATCAATGTTCTTCTGGAATCACTATCAAAAGTAAATAGTTAAACTTGTAACATTATTTTATCAGTAAAATCAAATAAAAGAATTCTGAATTAAAACATCATTAATGAAAAGAACTATGAATAACTAGCATACTTTAGAAGTTTCAAATAAAATGAACACATTCTTCTAGATATATTGTTATTATTCTTAATTTAATATTTCACTTCGAAAAGTCTTACATTCAATTTTATAAACAAACCAATCCTATACGAGAAGAAATGTTAAGACGTGTTTTCAACTGAGAAAAAAACCACGAATTTTCACTAGTATGATAATCTTTAAGGTGTTACTTTTCTCTTCAGTCGTATCCACAGCCACATCTCAATACGAACATATATATATTATACGTCTTCTATTTGTAAAGTGTTAAAAAAAAAACTTACAGCAAGTTGTTGTAAAAGTATATCAATGCCTTCTAATTCACCAAGCATTTGACGATTTTCATCATGATTTTGTAATAAAATTGACATTAATTCTGAACAATAAAGACGTATTGAACTAAATGGTGATTTAGTCTAACAAACAAAAGAAATTCTTTTTTTTTTTTTAATATTTTCTTTCTTTTTATTCTTACTTTTAAACGTTTAAGTAAACATGCTAATAGACCTTGTTTACATGCATCAACACATAAAGCTGGTCGAAATTCTGTCATATTTTCAACAATAGCTATAAATGAAATTAAAAAAAAAGATTTTCATCTGTTTTTTTTTTCAATTTGATTTAATCGGTTTTTTTTTACCAAGTGAATTATGTATGCCATCTGCTTCTTCTTTAACATTTTCATCAAGTCTTTCCATATTTTGAACAAGTAATGAAACAATTTGTTGTTCAGCCTATTTAAAATTAAAAAAAAAACAAACAAACGATTTTCTTTTTCTTTCGAATTTTATTCGAAAAAAACTTACAAGTGCATCAATTAAAAATGTAGCTTGTTGTTCACTTTCTGTTAATGTATCAACATCTGTTAATTCTTGTATAAGACTAATAACAGCAATACTAATATCCGTATTTTCATGTGTTAATAAACTCATTAATAAAGTTATACCATTCATATTAACAAGTACATGATAAAGTTCAGATTGTGTTGCAATAATATGTAATTCTTGTACAGCATCATTTAATTCAATTTCAGATTCCATAAATCTTAAAACAAAGAACCAAAAAAAATATTTTTTTTTTGTTTTTGAAAAATTACTTTTCTGGATTATCTGGATATTTAATTCGCATTTCTTGATTTTTTGAAATACGTTTTTCAAGTTGTGAAAGCATACGTTTTAAAGATGTTTCATCAAGTTCTTCAGTCTAAAAAACAAAAAAAAATAAAATAAAATAATAATTTTAACATGTATTCTTTACAGATGATTCTTGTTCAAGTATTTGTAAAAGTTTATCACGTTCATCAGTATTTAATGATGCAAGATTTGTATTCGTTATTGATGAACCATTTGATGGTATAGGTACATCATCAAGTATTGGACGTTTAGTTCGTTTAGGATATCCAGCAGTTAATGATAATGTTGCATCAGTAGTTCGTTTATTTGTTGAAGTACTAGCTGATGAGACTGAAGGTTTTACAGGCTTTAAACGAAATGAACAAAAAAACAAAATATCATAATTTTTAGTGAATAACAAACATAAGTTAAGTTACCTGATAATTTAAAAGTTCATCAATATTCATGATTATTGTTTTTTTTTCTCAAGAAACAATCAGAAAAATGAGATAATCAATTAGACGTAAAAAAAAGCAGAAATTCTCATTGAAATTGATTGGTTAATAGAACAAACCTGTCATAGAAGATAAGTGGTTTATTGCAAAGAAAGAAAAGAAGATTAATTTCAAATATCTTTTGAAAAATCTTTCAAACAGTTTTTTTTTCTAAATATTTTTTTCATATCAATAAAATAATAAGAAATATTTATTATATACATATATCTATTCGAAAGTATATTTGAAATGATAGAATAAAAAGACGACATTAGCGAAATTTTTCATGATTTGTCAAATAACAAAACCAATCAATATATTGTTGAAAATGGAACATTATAAAATGAATATTTTGTTTATGGAACATGTTGTTTTAATTGTTTTCTTAAATTTTATCTATATACTTTAGATGACGACACCAAATCGTTCATTAGCATCTGAAGATGTCTATGGTGAAAAATGGGATCGATGTTTAACTGATACAATTGTTAAAACAGGTTGGACTTATATTATCAATATGTATTTGAATGTTTAATATGTTTTGTTTTTTTGTATTTTAGCATCTGGTCTTGCTTTGGGTATAGTTTTTTCTGCTGTTCTCTTCAAACGTAAGAATTTGTTGAATATGAAGATCAATAGTCATAACATATTTGTTTTTCTTAAACTAGGTCGTCCATGGCCTGTCTTCTTGGGTACAGGCATTGGTTTAGGAATGGGTTATAGCAATTGTCAAAATGATTTTCGTTCACCATATGTTCATCCTCAACCATTATCACTAACTAGAACTGATGAACAATTATTAAAAGTAAGAAAAAATAAAGTGAGTTTAATAACAATGTATTATTATTTTTTCTTTTTTTTTATAGAAGCCGTCAAATAGTTGATGATCTTTTTTTATTGGCTTTAATACGAACATAAATATTTCTGTTTTTTTTTGTATCCATCATTTCATTACCATATATCTTTTAGAGACATTAACTTTTTTCTACAACCTTCCCATTATATTAAATAAAATAGACGAAGTTTAGTCGATTGATTTGTAGTTTTTATTTATTCAGTTTTAGGTAAATTTAAGGGTATTAAGTTAATTCTCTAAAAAAAGCATTGTTTTTTTTTAATCGACTTTTGTTTGTGGTAGTTCGATGGAAAGTATTCAAACAGAAAGCTTTGACTGAATACGTTTGCATGAAATAATGAAGATTTGCAGCGTTTTTCAAGAATGTCTAATGAAATTTTATTAGTGATTTCAAGATTTGGAAGTGATATTTTGTTCATTAGGAGAAACATATTTTTATAGAAAATTTATAAAATTATAAAATTTTCATTTTTCGAAAGATTCATATCTCAATGAAAAGAAGAATCCTTTAGAGATTTTAATCATCTAGAAATCCTCTACTTGTAGGTAAAATATCAGTTCAAAAATTTAAAGTCACAGATGGAGTCTTCTTTAGACATTAATAGAAAACGCTGCAAAGCTTTAGCATTCCACGTCAAAACTGGCAAATTCTTTCAAGCAAAATTGCTGTCTGGCTATTTCCTATCGAATTACTACAAACAAAGATCGATAGAAAAACCTTTTTCAGACAGAACTTTACGCCTATTTGTAATATTATTTCTATTCCTATAGAATTTGTTTTTTGTTTAATTATCTTTCTAATAAATAGAGCTCACGAGTGATGGTCTCCAGTTGATAGAAAGGTTTTGGACTCACATTGCATAATACGTTAGTGTATATTCTCTATATGGGCTTAGTTTTTCGGTAAAACTCTACTGTTGAATTTCGATCTGCAAACTGCGCAGACAAAGGCCTCAAGAAGTCTAGCTTATGAACAAAATTTCAGAAATTATCGATCAAATGTCTCTGAGATTTGCATTTTCCAGGTTGCAAGCGATTTTCCATTGATACTGTATAAAACATGCATATTTTGGAAGTTGCATATCTCAGAAGTGCTCGATGAAAAAAGTTTGAAATTTTGTGCATCAACTACTCTCACAGAGACCTTCATATGAGTGAATTTTTGCGGACAAAAACTCGACAATAGAATTTTATCGGAAAACTCAGCCCATAAACAGAGAAAATTCACTAAAAGTGACTATATTAGTCAAATTTTAACGTCAGCATGAACTCTTTGTAGTTTGTTCTAATCTATAGGCTCTCTCCTATTGAATAAAATAAAGGCTCACAAGCTTTTAAATATCTAGAGACCTTCCCTCATTAAGAAAACCTACTAGACAGATATATTTGTGTTTTGAAAATGATTTATCATAATATGGGAAAAAAACATCGATTTAAAAAGGATTATTGTTTTGTAAAGATTTTTCGTTTTAATAGAATTATTTAGCTTTGATGCTGATTACAATCTCATCTTGTTTTTTTTTATTATGTTGCACTTTATTTTTTTTTTATTAAAAAACTGTAATTTATCAATAATTTAGAACTATTTTTGTAGCTACAGAAGCGCTCTAGCGACAGTTGATTAGAACGCAAAAATAACAAAATTTCTATTGTACATCTTTTATGCAAAAGAATATGAAATATTGTTATTGTTCGAAGATTTCAATTATTTGACATGATATATATGTATTCTTAAGCTATGAACATCACGAAGCATAATCGGAAAATTTCAGGTCATAATACTGTTTCACTCTAGAATAGATTTTATACTCAGAATCGGATGTGTTCACAATAAAAACGGTTTTCTGTAATAGGGTTTTTTTTTCAGTACTATCTATTGCACAAGAAATCGATTCAAAAGCTAAATCTCATGCGTATCGAAATTGCATTTCATAGGAGGGTAAGGACTTTTTTCTTTCGATCAATTCTATAAGTTAGCAAGAAAAATAGATTATCCTTATCTATCGTTATATCGCGAAGATGATTTGATAAACAAGATAATATTTGATGCATTAGAGACAAATGAGTTTTGTTTTATTTTATATCTAATCTTAATATAAGATCTAAAAAGATGTTTAGTCAACGAATACAATTTGTCTAAACTGATTGTGAATAGATTTTGTCAGTTGTCGTCTTTATTCTATTCATCGTATAATTTACATGCATACAAAAAGTGTTGCAATGTTGATAACATAAGAGTTCTTTTGTATGCTATATTTCATTCAATGCATATTTCATTTATCTTTGTTTAAGTTGTGCGAAATATTTATGAGCATCATAGATTTTTTTTCTTGTGAGAGCTTTGATTTATTTTCTGTTTACTTTAAACACTAGATTGTGATTCTACAGTATGCATGCTTTGACATGATGAGGGATAATCGGGCTCCTTGTCTCGTTTGCACAATCAACAGTAATGTCGTGAGAGGACATTCCTTTGCTCTCTGTCTCAATCTATATATATGTTCTTTCATTGATATGATTATTATTTGATAGCGGTAGAAAAAAAGGAGGTGGCGAGCCTCATTTAAATATATTGCTGCATTTGTTTGCATATGATGTTCGATCCGTGATCGATTCACTAGACCAAAAGGAAAGAGAGAGAGAAAGAAAGAAGCGAAAAAAATGAACATTGTGTCGCACAAGAGTGTAGAGGAATATGTAAAAACAGAGAGTGAAAGAAAAGAATAGATCAAAAATGACTATGTGAGTAAGCAGTCGCGTCGACATTAGACATTCATGGGTCGAAAAATTATATTCAAATAATTTTTTGTAAGTCGTTATTTCATACATTCGTGATAAGTGTTTTTTTTTCGAACTTTGATAAATCATCTCTCATATATCATTTCACAAAGGTTTGTCTTTTTGGCTACACTTGTTTCAGTAAATGCATATTTTCGTGTCATCATAAAACATTCATTGAGAGCTTTTACATATATAAGTTTAGACTTGTTTGATATTACCATATTTAACAGACATTAAAATCACATGGACAAGAAAAGGCTATGAAAACATGAGGAAAGAGTCTGGTTTTTTTTTATTCTATTTTATAATATCACAGAAAAGTAATGTGAAATATTGATATTATGCTTTCAAAAAAAAACAAATTCTTGTTTGATAAAACTGGTCATTTAAGTATTTCCTTATCTAATGAAGAGTAAACGAATGACTGATCGAATGCATTTACACTATGTATTGTAGTATATGATCAACAATATATTTTACTTATGTCATAATTAATATTATTTTATGGCATTAGATATATTGTTCTTTCATTTACTCTTTCTTCAGTCATATAATTAAACCTTGAGGAACGATGATGTTTTGTCTTGCTTATTCTTTAAGACCGTTTCAAGAATAAAAAGAAAAATGTTCGAATATTGTAACAAATGACATGACGCAAGGTTGCACTTTTGCCTATGTCGTATATTGTGACCCTGGCACGCACACGCGATTAAATGTCGTGATGAGAGAATGTTGTTATAGAAATTGTTCGACCTTTAAAATTATCACAAACATACGACTAAAAAGTCTTTATATAAAACTGTAAAATAAAAATATGATTTTTTTTTTCGTTTTTCATATTAAGAATTAGTTGTGAAAATAAAACAAAAAGTTTTGATAATTTCGTCCTTGTAGGACCGTAGCCCGGATAGCTCAGTCGGTAGAGCGTGTGGCTTTTAACCACAATGTCCAGGGTTCGAGCCCCTGTTCGGGCGTTTTGTTCATATTTTTGTTCTTCTCTTATTGTTTTGTTTTTCTATCTTTATACGATTCAGTAAAACAACAGTAACTATGCACGCGAGCAAGCAGATGATCATGTCATCTGCAAACGATTTGCGCAGAATAAAAGAAAAGAAAGAAAGAAAGAAAAAAATAAGTTGTTATCTATCGTCATCGTCGTCATTCTTTTTTCTTTTCTCTGATTTTTCTTTCTTTCCTTATATACACTATTCCAAAATAACTAAGCATGATCATCAGTAACAAATATGTCATTCATTGTTAGTGTCAGTATTTGGATGAATGAATTTGATGACACATACCCATCGAATATTTGTGTTCATTAATAATAGTACAAAAT